AATATCTAAACTCTAGCTATTTGGGTTTTTTTCAAAGAAGATTTTTAAGTTTTTGCTATACAAATATAAGGAAAATCAATAACACCCAGGGCGGGGCCAATTTTGACTCCAGGGCTTTTATTTGAACAAACTTTGTAGACACTCACTAGAAGATGTTTCATGCTTAATATCTAAACTCCAGCTACGAGGGGTGTCTCAGAATTACGTGGACTTTTGCTATAACTTTTTTATTTTTTAATGCATTTTTTAGCAAATTTGTACACAATACCTTTAACATATCCATAATGAATATGTCCATTATTTTTAAATTTCTAACATTGCTTCTCTATATTTTACGTCGCTATAGTAACGCAGTATGCGCAGGGCGGGGCAGTCCAATATTTTGTATTAATAAGTTGTCTTTACTTTCGTATATCTTGCGTATTTATACGTAAAAAAATGGGGCGACGTCGTAAGCATATGCAGTGACGTCATATGAACGTTCGTTTGAAATTTTGACATCATAGCTGTCTCCGTTATTGTTTACCAGCGGACAACTGACAACCGTTGCTCTTGGATATTTAACAAAAAATGATGTCCAAGGATTACGCGGAACATCGGACTATCATCGAGTTTTGTGTTAATCTTGGGAAGACACCAACACAGACGCAGGAAATGTTGGAGACTGCAAAAGTGAGACCTCCTGGTTGTTGATCACTTGTTTTCAAGTGGCATAAGCGTTTTCGAGACGGCCGGGAGGACATTGAAGATGACAAGGGTCGTGGGAGGAAGTCAACATTGACTGCGGCGTCAATTAAGGAAGTCAAGGACGTCATAGATCGGGACAGGCGTTAAACTGTGCGGGACGTGTGCAACATCACGGGTTTGGGAAGATGATTTTTAAAAATTAAGCTAATCACAATTTATTATTTTAAACGCAATTTACCCGCTTCAGCTTTTAAGAAAGTGAACTCAAACTGCTATAGTAAGCAGTGCACATGATAGGTTATTTCCCTTGTTAACGCACATTGTCTTTGCGTACAAAATAAAATCCACAATAATAATAATAATAATAATAAAAAGAATAATAATAATAAAAATAATAATGATAAATAATAATAATAATACGGTGTCAGCATTATCACCGTCGTCTTTAACACTATTATCATAACAAAAGTTAGTAGTATGCTTTATTATTATTAAAATTATTATTATTATTTGCGGATTAAGTATATGTACAATATCGCTTACTTAGTAGATAAATTGTCTATTTGTCAGGTGTTACGGCGACGCCACCGGAATGACGTCGTAACGTCGAAATGGACTGCCCCGCACCCGCTACCCCTTGTCTCATTACCCTGCCAACAGACACTGATCCAGTTGCCGGACAACTTTGAAATTTTTTGTACTAATGCAATAAAGTTGCATTTTGTTCATGTTAATTTTGTTTGTTTTTATTTTCAGTAGTTTTTGAGTTACAGCAAAAGTCCACGTAATTCTGGGACACCCCTCGTATTTGGGTTTTTTCAAAGAAGATTTTTTAAGTTTTTGCTATATACATATAAGGAAAATCAATTTTGACCCAAGGGCTTTTATTTGAACAAACTTGGTAGACACCAATTCGAACATGCTTCATGCTAAATATCTTAGCTCTAACTCTTTGAGTTCTTTAAATGAAGATTTTTTAAGTTTTTACTATATGCATATAGGGAAAATCAATGACCCCCTGGGGCGGGGCCAATTTTGACCCCAGGGCTTTTATTTGAACAAACTTTGTAGACACTCCTTAGAAGATGTTTCATGCTTAATATCTAAACTCTAGCTATTTGGGTTTTTTCAAAGGAGATTGTTTTAGTTTTTACTATATGCATATAGGGATAATCAAAGACCCCCTGGGATGGGGCCAATTTTGACCCCTGGGCTTTTATTTTAACAAACTTGGTAGACACTCACTAGAAGATGTTTCATGCTAAATATCTTAGCTCTAGCTCTTTGGGTTCTTTAAAAGAAGATATTTTAAGTTTTTACTATATGCATATAGGGAAAATCAAAGACCCCCTGGGGCGTGGCCAATTTTGACCCCAGGGCTTTTATTTGAACAAACTTGGTAGACACTCATTAGAAGATGTTTCATGCCAAATATCTAAGCTCTAGCTCTTGGGGTTTTTTAAGAGAAGATATTTAATTTTTTTTCTTTCAGTTGCCATGGCAATCAGAGTTCTGCATGGAATTAAATTCTTTGAACAATTTTTTAAGGTGACCACCAAAGGAACATTCCTGTGAAGTTTGGATGAAATTGGCTTATTGGTTATTGGTTTATGAGGAGATGTCATTTAAAGTAAAAGTTTACGGACGGACAGACACAGAGGTGGGCTTTATTATTTTTATTTCCCTTTCAGATTGATTGTGTATGAATACATTTTTGGAATCAACATGACATGTATTTTGCAATGAGTGTGAAGTAACCTGCTCATGAAAACAGCTGTTCACTAGCTCCTTACAAGATTTGAACCCACGCAGCTAGCAATCTTCAGATTACTAGTTTTTGACAAATTAACCACTAAAAATTTGGGAAGTTAGCTCAAGAGTTTCTGATTCGTACTGGTATTATTATTCTTGTTGCGGAAGTTTAGTGATAACAACTCTGAAATATTTATTTGCTGAAAAAGGAAAAAAATGCCATCTGATCTGTGTTTTCAAACTATAACAACACTTTCCACATAATCAAAATAGCTAATGTAATACTTGTAGCTAGGTGATGCATGATTAAAGCGTTTGTCTGGTCATCCTTTTAAACCAACTTTAAAATACACTGTCAAATAAACACTTATTACTATATTAATCTTATTTTCTTGGAAATGATGATAAAATATAATTTACATATATGTAAATATAAATTACAAGGGTCTTACAGCATTTTTTTCATGCAATCACTTAAAATTTTGCTCAAAATAGTAATTATTGTTATGAATGCCTTTTTTAAGAACATAAAGCAAAAGCAAATTTTGGATTTTGATTGCACTTAGGGGTCCGCATTTCCCTATTGATATATACATTCCTGCCAAATTTCAAGAAAATTAGACAAATCAATCCCAAGATATGCCACCTGATACAATAAAGGACAGGCAGGCACCATTTCAATATACTCCTGATTTTATTGGCAGGGGGAATGTGGAATAATATATTGGTTTATTGACATATTTTGATGTCTTATTTGTAAAATAATACACTTAAGAGCTATAAATCTTTGTTTAATAAAAATAACTGTCATCAGTGATAGAATATTATACACAAATCAATGTACAGAAAATATAAAATATTTAAACAACAGGATGTATAAACTGAGATATGTCCTTCCATAAAATTTAGTCAAAAACATCTTAATTTACTAGTTCATTGAACTGTTCAATGATTTAACATTTGATGTAATTTTGTCTTTGACATTTGACTTTTTTTTTTCATTTTCATTTTGTGATACATGGACGCTTTTTTGTAAATCAAGTCCAGTTAAAAAGAAATCACTTTATAAATAGCCACTATAATGTTTATTTAATCTGAATAGAACTGCATTTTAACGCTTGTATTTAACATTTTCAGAATTTATGTCACAAGAAGAGGAAGATAATCATGTGGAGATAGATGCTATGGTAAAGAGATGGCCAAGAGATGGGAGCTGAATAAAAAGTGAAAGATTTTCTACATGGGACATAGTTTACTTTGCCAATGTGACCTTCTTGTTCATCAAATCATAATCATTTATAAAACATTTGTAGACTGTTATTAACTGATAGCTTGGACTAAAGATAAAATGAAATGTTTACAGAAACTGTTCGAGACAATGTTTAATATACATCATGCAATTAAAACAACTCATCTCAAAGCAGTTGTATGTAAGGTTTGTAAAATTATAGCAGTCAGCATAATAAATTACCCTGCTAAGTTCATATTCTGTTTCATCTTTTACGTTATGAATTTAAAGTAGCCCAAGCCTTTATTCTTTTAATCATGTTCAGTAACTGTTGACAGTAAGAAACAAGAACTGTCGGTAGGACAGCAACGCTCGACTATTCTTAGTGCTTGATAGTAAAAAAAATGCTTGATACAGTTACCTCCTCCTGTTTACAGGTTGGGGTCATGATGGTGAACAAGTGTGCAAAGTTTCAAAGCCATATGTCAATGGACTCTGAAAATATTTGAACTATTACAAAAACTTTAACGTAAATTCTAAGTCGAAAAAGGGGCATAATTCTGTCAAAATGCTTGATAGAGTTACCTCCTCCTGTCTACAGGTTGGGGTCATGATGGTGAACAAGTGTGCAAAGTTTCAAAGCCATATGTCTATGGACTTTGCAAATATTTGAACTATTACAAAAACTTTAACTTAAGTTCTAAGTCGAAAAAGGGGCATAATTCTGTCAAAATGCTTGATAGAGTTACCTCCTCCTGTCTACAGGTTGGGGTCATGATGGTGAACAAGTGTGCAAAGTTTCAAAGCCATATGTCAATGGACTTTGAAAATATTTTAACTATTACAAAAACTTTAACATAAGTGGTTACGCCGACGCCGACGCTCGGGTGACTGCAATAGCTCTACTTATTCTTATCGAATAGTCGAGCTAAAAATACTAGCTTTAGGAGTTACCTGCCTTAAAATGCTCCAAAGATAACAGCTCTTGAAAACTAAGTATTGAAGATCAGACATATTTTTTTTGTCTTACTTTTTCAATCAGTTAACTTAAATATTTCCCATGAAATAGAGTAACAATATGAATTGCAGATAATTAAGATGTATGGTGGCACTGCAAGGTTTTTCACCAGTACAAGCCAAAAATTCTCAATAAGACTTAATACATGTACATTAATGTATAACATTGAATATTTCCTCACAAATCTGTAACTCAAGTTTTAAATACTCTGACATGGATTTTTTTATCATTGTAGAAAACATTATCATCAACCACAGACCCTCTGCCCTATTAAATGCAGTCAGCCTCGATAAATAAAGACAAATACAGCCACTGCTCATTATAAAAATATGTTTATTGCATAATATCTATATATTCAATATAAAGACAACAAAATGATATATACTTCACCATATACTTCCTTATCATATTATAATGATAGCATATACAACAGTTTCTATACAATCAAGACATAAAAATATTAATGCCTTGGAAGATTTATTTAGTATTAATGTACTAACATAATTGAAATGTAACTTTTTCTATAGCTAAAGAGAAGCTTGAACTAAAAACCTTTTACAAGATATTATACATATTAGTTGTTTTAGTAAGATACTTAAAATTTAAATACAAGAGAAAAAAATTTCAAAATTTTTGGTAGTTTCAGAGTCAGTTGTAAAGTTAAGTATATTACAGTTTACCAGGTTTTTTTTTTTTAAATATGCACATGTTACAAAGAAATTCCATGCTGAAATTGACATGTGCCAAACTGAACAAGGATTACTGAACATGAAATAGTTAACAATGGAAAATCAGATTGAGGAAACCTTTCTTATTTACAATTGTACCTAGTTAAAATTTCCTAAAAAGCTCCCAACTGTATGCATAATACATTCTTATCAGATGACACAATGTCAAAAACAGTGGAGAAAAAATAATTTTTAACCTTTGTTACCAAATGAAAGAACATAATGTAATCTAAAAACATACTGTATCAAAAATATATTTGTCCATTTTTTCTAAAATACTGGTCCTCTAAAAATTATGACTTCAAAAGACAAAACAGATCTAACAATGCTTCAGTCATACATGTAAGTATATGATAACCAAAAAATTTGAATTTAAAATATTGTTCCCTCTTTTTATTGAAACAAAGGTCTATACAAACAATATCAGTTTCAAGAGAGAATACTATGTTATTTGATAGTTGGAATGCCAACTTTGGTCCCTTTGTTGAGGCTAGACTATTTGAGCATATAAAATGGTCCCTGCCTGGAATATTATTTTTCATCATGTGTCAAAAAATGTTAAAAATATAAAGAGGAATTATTACAATATTTAATCCAGAAACCCCTAAAGAGATATGAGATAAAAAAATTTAATATTAAATCCAGAAATCTCCTAAATGTTTAAATGAATGAAATTTTAACGCAATCTGATGGTCATTTACAGATAAATAGAAATACATACGAGATATTACAGCTGGGCTTTATCTCTTCTTATACCTCGGTCATGTACTATTAGGCCATAATATATCATATTTTACAAAACTATATACTTTATACAAAAATAAATTATGGATTTTAATGCATGTAAAACTGTGTATTGTGTTCTTTTTATTCAATAAACCGGTATAACATATATAATTTTATCTACATAGTGACTACAATATAACAACAGAAATATTGTCTCTATGTTCAACAACACAAAACATACGTAAATATCTTACAATTTCTAAAATTGATTCACATAAACTACAATCCCAGAAAAAAAAAAAAAATACTCTAAAGCACTTTACGTCATGTCCTTGCCCTAGAAGCACTATACGGCAAACTGTGCAATTATAATATTCCCGAATATAAATAAGAAAAACACGCATAAAATATATAAGCCATTTTACCTTATAAAAAGCTGTATAAACACCATGTAAATAAAAAAAAAAAAACAAAAACAACATACATTTTCCACATACAGAATAGACCAGTAAAACAAAATAGCACGCAAATAAATCATAAAAAAAAAAAAGAAAAAGAAAAAAGAAAAATCTCGATTTTTAAGAATTTCTTTTCTTCCGCTTCAGCAGTGTTTCTTTCTGGAAGTCTCTTGTATAAAAAGGTAAACAATATTATATGAGAAATATTATCTGCACAAACGTACAAACAAACAGAGTGCTGGTTAAGAGTGCATGACACCATTTAAATATCCTGAATGCGTAGCACAGTACCAACAAAACTCATAACAAAAAATTCAACAACAGAAACAAAACATATGCTCACCTGCAATAAAAAAAACAAAAATATATTCCATGTATCTAAATTCATACAAATAATAATTGGCACTAAATATTTCTATAGTATTTCAATATATAATCTAAGCATTTTATCTATAAGCCTTGAATTGTCTCTCCAACACTTCATATCTACCATAATGATAATCTAATACATTGTACAGTAATTTCATTTTTATTTTCTTTTGAACACAAAATCAATCAGTGAACAGTCTGTAAACTGTCAGTATTAACCTATATAATTTCTTTAAAATCCAGTATAACAACACAAAACATACCAAAACTTTTAATCTTGGCCCCTATTAGAATTTCTGTACTGAATGCATGATTTTACAAATCAATTCTATTCACCTAAAAAATCTTCTTTTTTCAGATTCAATTAAAAAATTTGAAAGGTGAAAGAAAGATAAAACTTGTGCTCTGTTTCTCGTGCATTTAATTATGATATAAAAAAATCTCTTCTTCCCCCTTTCTGTCATGGTTATTTTAAACTATAATCGTTATATCACAGTAGAATGGCAGTGCAACACTGCCTATAACACATAAAGTGGCAATTTTACTCTTCCAGTAATAAACATTATTATAGTCCTAAATATGCTGTGGTGCATTTTTTATTCTCAATGCTTTCAAAATGTTTAATTCACCTGCAACCTTCTCAGATTGGAAGATGATGTTTCACCATTGAAGTTCTCACTTTCCTATATAAGTCAATTGTCTTCCCTGAACTTCTACTTTTAAGGTAGTTTCCTTTATCGTTCTGTTTTCCTAAAGCCTTTGACATTTCTAGCCACTTTTAATCTATCTTTCTGTATGTCAACCTTTTTTCTTGAAATTTCTATATCATGGTTTACATCAACTATACTTCTAGAAATTGTTAAAATTTCTCTTTACATTCACTGTCTTGTTTATATTTTTCAATATTAACCTTTAAATCCTGTCTATTTCATGTAAATTTTCAGATTTTTTCCTTTTTATGTTTCTTTGAGTCTTTCTTTTCATGATGCTCTTCATGATGCTCCTTGTCTTTCTTCTTTTTAAGAAAACTGAACATAGATTTACGTTTCTTCTCCTTCTCATCATGTTCGTCCGGAGTGCCCCCTGGTGGCAACACTGGTTCTGATAGAGGTCGCTGTTGTGAAGACCGAGGCGATGCTTCTGGCCGTTTCTAAAATACCAGAATAATGTAGTTATTCATATCAATATTTGTATGTCTTTTTCAAATTTTTTCAAATATGATGCCATCAAACTTAATCTTTAGATAAAATATAGCAGAAGGAATGCTGGCTTCAAATCCGGCAGCTTACTTAGACAGGACAAATCAGTGCTAGTATAAATTATCAAAGAAAATATTTACGAAATATCATATTCTAATATTTTTACAAGAAGCAATTGGCAGTTACTTATTCAGGTATCTTAATTTGCAAGTTTAAGCCATAAAGTTACAAGATAATTCATATATTAAAGAATTCATGAGCAAAAAATTCTTAAAAACAAACAATTATTTAACTTACCCTTGGTTCATCTGAATACTTGACCATATTGTTATCATGGCTAGAGGCTGTTTCTGCAATATAAACATTGCCAAAACTGACTACATGTACATTTCAATTCAACACATACCTATAACTTGAAACAAACTAAATATTTTCTTTGATATATATATTATCAGAAAAGATTAAAGGGAGGCAACTTCAAAACACAAATTTTTTTCTCATTTATTCTTATGTAGTTGTCTCTGATTGAAAACATTAGCTACTGTTAAACAAAATTACTACAATATCAAATGCCACAACACAGAAAAATATTGAGGCTGCACACCCTTTATCTGCTTTAAACAGAACCAATGACAAACAAGGTTCTAAGTAAGTCTTGCTATTGAAACAAACACAATACCTCGACTGTTTACATGTTGATCACGTCTCATGTCTTGCCTCTCAGCATGTTGTCTTTGAGGGGAACCAGGTTCTTGCCTTCTTGGGGAACCAGGTTCTTGCCTTCTCGGGGAACCAGGTTCTTGCCTTCTTGGGGAACCAGCGGTGGCTGCCTGATGGGAGGGGGTCGGCTCAGAAACGACAGAATCTTCAGGTATTGTTTGCACATGAGTGCCCTCTGTTGGTGAAACACTTCGACCTCGACCAGGAGGTGAAGGTGATCTCTGTACATCAAGTTCCGATGTATCTACGCTGGGTGCCATTTCTGAAACATAAGTAAATGTTCATATCAATATGGTCAACTAATACAACATAATTATAACAATATATACATGAACTGACACCAGTATCTAGAAATAAGAAGTGTAAAGATTATAGAGAAGAAATTTGAAAGCTATGATAAGTTGCATAATCATGTGTGTGTGAAAAATATGTATATTTAAAACATTTATTTTGTAAAAAAAACTATGAATGAAATATTTGTTTTTTAGAGTAAATATTGAAAAGAAATGTAGTACTCTATTTAGGAAGATATTAAAGACATTCAATTTATTATTTAAACAATTAGTATAAGAAATATTTAACATGAAAAGAAATCTGAAAAACAGAAAAAACCACTACCAATGTAAGCTGAAAATGTTAAAAACGCCTTTCTAAAAAGAAAACAACGTTTTCTAAACTAATAGAACTTGAAATCAGAGAGCCAAAAGCCCCAAATATTTATTTATTTATTATATTAATGAAGTTCAAATATGTTAACTAAACTATTTCAACCATTCACTTTACTTAACAAGGGACATCTAAAAGACCTTTAAGACCAAACAGAAGACAATTGCTTATTATTAAAACTGTTTATGATATGTAAAATTCAGAGGACAAGTTGTACTGCTAAATTTCTGAATAATTGAGCCGTGTCACGACAAAACCAACATAATGGGTTTGCGACCAGCATGGATCTGGACCAGCCTGCGCATCCGCGCAGTCTGATCCGGATCCATGCTGTTCGCTTACAGACCCTATAACAAGTAAAGAAACTGATAGCGAACAGCATGGATCCTGATCAGACTGAGGTGATCTGGCTCCATGCTGGTCGCAAACCCATTATGTTGGTTTTGTCATGACGCGGCTCATATAATCTTGTCCATCTCTGGACTTTATTGTTCATCATTATTATGGGAAATTTTCAAGACAATGTACGACTTGATCTGCAAACAGTGCAGACTATATCAGTAATCTTGGTCTGCACTAGTAGCACAGGTAATTGGTAGATTTTATAACCACAAGTAGAATTTAAGGGTTCAAGTGACATTATACTTTTTTTTTTTCATAACAATATCACTTAAATGATGACTGCCAAGTCAAAGAGGTCAATATGACTAATTGGTTTAGATAAAATTGTCTGAAAATCATTTTTTCTACCCCCTCACCCCCACTAACACCTTTGCTATTTTTTGTTGTAATTAAATACTGATGCATCAAACAAGCAGAATATATTACATATTCTTACAAAATTATTTTTCTGCCTAATATATAAGTGCATCTACAAGTAATGACGTTTTATCTTAAATGCGTACACATTTCATTTTCTGTTTTGGACTTTGATCACAAATCGCTATTATTTTTTTCCCCATGCAATTAATTAAATTACTTCTTAGATATCTGCTTAAATGTTTTCTATATTAGCAGAAAAACAAAAACCCATTTTATTATTCATTTTAATTATTAGAGACCTCCTCTGTGCAACTGTACATGCTTCATAACAAATACTATGTATTATGTCCATTTTGTTAAATTTCAATGCTCAAAATGAATCAGCAAGATATCATAATTATATTTTGCAAAAACTCCTTTGGCATGAAATACTTTTGTGTTCAACAACAACTTATATAACTAAATTAGCACAACACAAATTTATTACATCTAACACTCTTCTATACACACATTTAGCTTATTTAATGTTCTACACCATTAACCTGATAAAACTCCATTTTATCAACTGTCATCACCAGTATACAACCAGGCCAGCCTGTACATCCATGCAGTCTGACAAGGCTCTATTCTGTTGGTAGCTCTTTTTTTTGCATTTTGATACAGAAACCCCTTAAACATTGAATGGACTGTTCCAAATTCAAAGCTGGGCCATTCCATTACAGAAATTCAGCAGGTTAAGGATTAAATAGAACAAAAAATCTAGAAGAAAACTAGAAACTATCTACAGTTTTCTCTAGTTCCTGAACTGATTTCGAAACAAACTTCTACTAAATAACTACAAGCCAATTCTATTCTATAACATTTTTATCATAAATTTTTGTCAATTTGTTTGTCAGGAACAGGTGAGTTTTCACTTGAAAGTTGGGCATTCCTCAATTCTGCACAAATATCAAACAATTCTATGCAAATATTAGCTTTCAAAATTTGTATAGGTAAAAAGAGTGACTTTAAGAGCACTACCAAATTAATTGTCAGCCAAATTTACAAGGAGCCAAAATGTAAGCTGTTGTACACTATTGGCTCAAACTTGAGACCTTAAGATACAGGTATACCTTTACCCAGTGAGACCTGCTAGGATAATAGGACAAGCTCCAAATGATGTCAATGGTTAATTTTAGCCATTATCTGCCTACATTTATTTAAACAATGGCAACTCCTATCCTAATACATTGCTAAAGCAAAACACTGCAAACTAAAACGAAGCAAATAAAACAAGAGCTGATGGTTCTACAAAACAAGTGCTCCTATATGCAAATTTAAGGACTTAATTTCAGTGCAAATAGATTGTGTGAAAGGCCTATGGTCTACATTTGTTTCTATGGTCTATGGTAGGATCTTGTATCCATTTCTATGGTCCAAAGACTAGAATAATGAAATGATTTCTTTTTTGCTGTTGGAAACTGATATTATAACCACATTTGTATCTATGGGAGTGGGAGCTGAATTTTAGATTACCATAACATTACTGTTTTTACTCTGTTGATCAGAACTTTCATTTAACACAAAAACATACAGGTTGTAAAAGGGCCATTATGTTCTCATCAAAGGATGTTACAAATTAAGCTACTTAGGTAAGGTTAATGTAAATATTCTTAATCTTTTCTGAAATATACTGTAAGGGATAAACTGGAAGGTGGATGGGGAAAAAAATGGAAAACTGATAAAACTGGAATAATAGCACTCTTTTGAAGGAACAAATTTCTAAATAAAATCTGAATAAGGCTGCATTCAAAAACAATATTGCTGAATAAATGTTTTCTTTATTACCTTACACCTCACATTCACTTCTTTTTCCCCCCGCTATTTTTCACAAAATAGCATGTTAATATAAAACTCATTGTAACTAAAGTGAAAAGTGTCCCATGCATTTAGGGTAACATACAATTTTGACACATAGAATTCCAAAGAAACAAATTTGGCATATTACAAGATAAAGCAAAAACAAAATCTGAATCCCTCCACCAAATCAATTAGAAATCTTTTTACTAAATCCACATCAACCATGAGTAAAAGCAAATTGAAAGTACTTGTCCATGTGAGTTGTAAGGAAAGGCAAAAAAAATATATAAGGAGTGAACAGTAACACAAAAAATTGGGGTTAAAAAAAAATTGCATTATGAAAAAAAAAGAAAACTATTGATTTTAGTTCACCTCCGTCGTCTTCCTCTTCATTATGATTAAACTCCATGTCAGCAAACATTGCCGACTTCGCTGTAAACAACCAGTCAAATACATCATATATATCATACACCATAATTATATAGCACATACAATATCTAAATCAATGTCCCATGGTTTTCAATTCAAAGTTCACAACATCTACATTGCTATCCATTTTCATGTTTACAAGCACATTCCATATTTCTGTGGATGAATTTTGTGTTTTTTTCCAAGCTCTCACCAATTAAATAACTTCAAATAGTGGTAGTTGAGATCACAATTTTAAAGGTATTTATAACCTCACTTGTTCGATTCCCCCACCTAATCCAAGTTAAGTGGCATCTGTGCTAATATGATGAAAGAAGAGTGACCCAAGTGACCCTTCATACATTATTTCTGGCTTTAGTAAGCACTCTTGTAACAATTAAATGATTTAGCTAACAGAGAAAATACTTAAGTTTCAAACCTTAACAAATATGGTTAATAAATTATACAAACTTAAAGTTCACTAAGTATCATAGACCAGGCTGTTCACACCTTAAATTTATCCACAGAAATAATTGAGGTGAATTTTCTAAACAACACCCAACCAACTTAAAGACTACCTTTTTACACTTCAACATGCTACATTCATACATCATAAATACACAAATTTCACAAATTGTATCAAAACTACACTTGATTATCAAAGGTGGAATACATCAATATATATCAATTAATAGAACAATTTAGCAAATATTGGTTATATATGGAATTTTTAATACTTGCATTATTAATTATATTGAGAAGAAATATTAGAATTTAATCTCAGGAAAAAGAAGATGAAGATAAATGTTTGAATGTGAATGGCAAAAATGTCTTGCCTTTACTGTAAACTATCTTGACAGTAAAATCATTGAACGTAATCTACATGTATTTTGACAGTGAAATCCTTTATGGTAAACTATTTTGACAGTGAAATCCTTTGGTGTAAAATATTTCGACAGTGTAATCTTTTAATGTGAACTATTTTGACAGTGAAATCCTTAAATGTAAACTACCAAGTAGCAAAAAGTGCAGACCGCAATCAGATGGCACATATGAGCTTGATGATATTGGTTTGCACTGGTTGCTTGGGTACTCAAATTTAAAATAATGAATATATAAAATTAAAATTATGCTTTAACTGCATTTTCCACATTCAAACATTTACAATATAGCAAATTTCAGAATATTACATGTGAAATTCTAAAGATATTATATTCATTAGGTATAAAACTTATAATAGTTATAGTGGCAACATCTTAATAATGCATAACATAGCATGGCAAGCAAAACAGTTTTTTTGAAGACATTCTGGCCAAGCATCAATGTCAAGGCCAAATTTGTCACAGGGCAGACTTGTCTCAAGCCATTTAAAACCTATATCGCTAACCAACACATTTTAATGAGATTTTCTAAAATATTGCCACTTATATGGATTGCATTAAATCAGATGTCCCATAGTGTTATATCAAGGTTTCTTTTATTTTGACAACTAATATGGCAAGCAAATTTAATTATTATCAATGTTCAACTGCACTCATTACATACATTATATATTGTAAAAAATTTCAGTAATAAGCAAGCACAATTATTATCCTTGTTCATTATGGTAATATACACTGTCATTATATAGATGTGTTGTATTTTCCCGTTTCTGTAAAAGAACAAGGAGTGCAACTACAGAACATCTGTACAAAACCAGTCCAAATCAACTGCAATTCATCCCCTTACTTTTACTGTTGAGCAAACATTTCATTGATTTTGGTATTAAATTGGATCGTTTTTGTTTTTGTTAACTATGACATTATGTCATTCAATCATTTTCAAGCATATTTGCAGCATATTTAAGCATCATTACGCAATTTTCATTACAGTAATCATATTCAAGGACAATTAAGCACTTTTTTTCAGTTTTAAGCACTCTCTAAAGTGACTCAAATTTAAGCACTTTTAAAGACTGTATGGACCCTGTCAACTGATAAAAGTTCTTCATTTATCCAGACAAAACAGGTACCTATACCATGCATCTGACATTTCTCATGTCTAGTTTCTAAACCGAACCAAGATCAAAATTTCTTGATTATAGAATAAACTAGACCTTATATGAGTAAACAGTATCAAATGTGCACTAAAAAGATGTTGCCTATGTTAATAATGAATAATATGTTGATATCAAATAGATTTATCATAAAGCATACCAGCAAACTTGTTGATATTTCCCATCCATTCACCCATCTCGTTTTGACTTGGTACCTCCAGAAGGAACTCTGCTCCATCATGGAGTCGCAGACGTAATACATGCTTTTTCTTAGTATAGTCTGAAGCTACCTCACATACGGCCTGATGTACATTGAGTGGAGGGACAGCAGCCACTTTTTCTGAATACCCTGTAAAATTGTGTATCATCTATAGGTGTAAACAGGTGTATTTGTATTTAAATGTTCAAATGATGAAAAGGTTATTTCTTTGTAGTGAATAATTATGGACTATATCTCTCCAAACAGTATGATTTCTTGAATAATATCAGAAGTAAAAAGTAGAAGGGAAAATATATCAAGAAAATCTTACTACCAAGTGAAATATATCCCATAATCACTAAACAACAATTTTCTTTTTATCTAACATCATAGTCTTTAAACTGCTTGCTCCGAATCTGCCAAAAATTTGGAAAATAATAGTTATACCACATCATAAAAATCATTTCATTGATGTGCGTTTTCTGTTGTTATGCCTTTAAGTGTAAAGAACGGGAGCCAAAGTCCGGGAACAAAAGGTCAGTTTAAACAATGTGATACGACTTAAAATCTACACAGATTCTTATATAACTACATGATTGTATATATGTTATTTAAAGCACTTTTGACCATAAATACTATCTTTATGACACTTTAATGGTCTGTGATTTTATGTGATCTGTCTGAAACTTCTAACTTACCATCTTTGTCTTTAAAGAAACACAATAATTGTCCGAATAAAACTGCATAAAAGTTTTTCCACGATCTAATAGTTGCTTTCTTTCCACCACTTTGTAATTCCTGTTTTCTTTCTAAAGCACCTTCCATTTCTGCGGGTGGTAAATTTTCTGGAAGCCTATGTTTATCTTTGAAACTTCTTGTTCGTCTCCTTAAATTAAAACTAGCAGTCCGTTTTTTCTTGTCATCACTTTTCATATGTTCTAAATGTTTTTGTTTAGGACTTGATGGGGACATGTGTTCCTTCTTTGACAAAGGAGATTTTGAATCATGTGACATCTCTGGGGGAGGGGCTGCTGGTAAGTCGGGGGCGGGTTCATGTGGAGTATCATCAGGAGGCGGAGTTATTACTCCTTCACCCTGCCTAAATTCTTTCGCTTTCTGTAAGACAGGTGGTGGTTGACTAAGCTCACTTTCACCGCGTGTTCTAAAACTAATTGCACGTCTTACACCTGCTGAACTCTCCTTGTTCATTTTGATACTGCTGGATCTGCCAAGTATGTTCTTTGCAGCATTCTTGTCTAAACCTCTGAAATATACAAACATGCAGTTTTGTTATATATCCTATCATCAAAGACAAACTTCAAGTATCAAAGTCTCAATACACCATTACATTATTTAACTGAACAAAAATCTATATCACAAATTCTGTAACCTGAGCCATCATAGCAAATAATAAAGATTATAATAATTATCACTTTGGCTTTCAGTTCTGATGAGGTATCCAACAGCCCAATCAACCTTTCTCCTGCAAGTTTTAAATAATCCATATTTCCTGTAGCGAATTTTCTTGCTTATTATATTTGAAATGCGTCAAAAACTTCTTAATGTAAAAGACATTGTTAAGTTAGACAGCAGTAACATGTAGGTTTACAATAGACTTTATGCTGGGTGCATAGACAAAACTATTGTTATCAGTGCTGACAGGTTTAAAGGAAGAAAAGACACCAACGCCCTTAGAAAAAAGAATTAAAATGCTTTTATAAAAAAAAAAAGATTATACTACCTCCCTTCATCTTCACTACCAGATTCGTCTCCGTCCGATTTTTGTCGTCTCAAAATTTCTTGTGCTTTCAACATATCTTTCTCGCGTCGTCTTTCCTACAAAATATACATAGAGTCTGTAATTTCAAAAGAATTTCACATCTTACCTACTGGTACCTAAAGAGACTTTAAGACTAAAATCATAAGACTTAGACTATAACACAATGTCACATTACAATTATCAGATGATTCCAACTTAAGCTAAAAATATATACATATATTTCTTTACGAAAAATAATATTATAAAAAAAACCCCTCTGTTTTAATAACACTCCAACAAATGAAAAATATAGAGAGAAATATCATTAACAAAAATTCTTATCATTAAATGCATGTATCCTTAAAACAGAAAATTTAGTGATAGAGCTAATGGTGCATTTTGACCTTGAATTAATTACTTATTATCAAAGAAAGAATGAACTACCATATTTAACAACAATACATCTGAAACTAACATTTAGTTATTCTGATTAAGTAGAAAAAGTGGCATATCATACAAGCAATAGATGGAAAACACACATCAAACACCATATAAAAGTGGATATTACTTTCTCTAAATAATTCATAATAGCACAAAACCATTCTGTACTAATCACAACACAAGCTATGAGCAGTGAAGTATTAGATATAGAACATAATGCTGTCTTATTAATATTCATAAATGATACCAGACAGATGAACACAGTGGCATAACTTCCTAAAGAAAGTGTAGGCTACTCCTTTTTTCCAGAAAAGTAAAGAAAGAAGACATTTATTTATCTGGCCTGCAATTTCTAATAATTCCCTAAATGTATGTATGCAGTCCATGTTTAACAAGGGTTCATTTGCATGCTAAGGCACAAAAAGTAGTTTTTGCTATCGAGTACAGACCCAAGACATGTCACCTATCATGCCTTTAAACAAATTCAGCCTTCACATAACTTTAATTAAGCTATGCCACCGATTGACTTTAAACACTAATTTTAGAGAACATGACTGTTCTGGCATTCTAATATACCCACATCTGAGAGATAATCTCAGGGTTCAAAAGTCAGACTACATATTCTATATACAGTTGACTCTCAATAAGTCAAAATCGGTTTACTCAAAATTCCGCCTTATTTGAATAATTTTTAAAGTCCCGTCAAATTTCCTTCTTTATCTTTGTATTTTAACTCCGCTTAGGTCAAATTTTGACTTACCGAGACTCCTGTTTAGTCGAAAAGAAAATTTGGTCCCGTCAATTAAAGTCCAACATATTTTCATCTCAATTAGTCGAAGTGTGAAAACAGCCGACTGATCAAAGGTCGGCGACATCAAGGTGAGATGTTGTCACTCGTGATCTACACGTTTCATAGTAATATTTAATTGCCGGTCATCATGTATTATTAACACGTCGTAAAAGTGTCTTTAATCCGTTTCAGGACTTAATTGGTTTTAACAGTTAGATAACTAAATTAAGATTTAATTACATTTCTTTAAAAAAGTTGACTCGTGCCAGTCTGACGGGTGTTAGTCAAATGAAAGCCTAGGTATTGATGTGTATTATCAACGTAAATGATATTTGTATAATTAATGTTCCGTCATATTGCATACATTAATTTGTACTTCCGGTTCACGATAGTTTCGTCCGATGATCAATTAAATCAAATATAATTGTGTGTTTATGTTTCACTATTAATATACATGTATTAAATTTTTGAATGATATATTTTTGTTCATTTATAATTTGTAGTTGAAAGTGATTTACCGTCATTTCAATGGTTAAATATTGCAGCACTGCCGCTAACAACAATAACAAACCTACTTCTTTGCACATTCAATCAGGTACATGTATATACATGTACCTATGTCAACGTTATGGCGGTAGTTCCACGTTACTCGAATTCCGTTTCTCTCGAAGTAAAATACCTAGTCCCTTGGATTTCGAGTTACCGAGAGTCAACTGTATATGTAAATAAAAATTTATCATCACACAAATTCACTGCATAGCATAACTATTATATTCTAGCAAATCAAAATGCTACCATGCATTACTTTAAAAAAGACACATGTAGTTACCTATAAGTATTTTTTTGATATTTTACCCACCAAAATTTAATTGGAATTTAATTGGAAAAAGATTTGATTAAAGCACACTTTATTCTCTGCATACAGAAGTGTAACATGCAACACAGTATGATAAACTTAACAGTGCAAGAAGTTCATTTAAAGTCACAGTAAAGGTCATATGGTGACATTCATCCTTAACATGATGACGCTGATCTAAAGTGCCCTTCTGTGCATCATTTCAAACTAAAGGCACCAGAGAAAACTAAAAAAAAAACTTTACTAAACTAACTCATCGTCTTCATTGGGATTCACACCCAAAAATGTAAGGGGGTGCCAAAATAGGTTCTGCTATGCAGATTTTGGAACTGCTTCAAAATAGGTTTGTAAATTCAACCTTTATCTGTACTGACAAGGTCAACAGGATTACTTTACATTTTTTATGACCAACCCTTTGCTAAGTGACAAAGTCATTTGATTTAATAAAGCAATGTATAAAAGCTAGCATTGAGATAATCTGTGTAGACAGAAACAAAGTGCATTATGACAATACCTCTGCAGAATGAATCTTCAGGAAAAGAAAACAAGAAAGTTGTTACTGTTAACATGAAAACAGAAAATGACACCACCAACAACAACAATTCACTCTTGTTATAAGCACGCAACAACTATTATAATCTACAAGTCATGAAATAAGAATAAGAAGAGTGTTATTTAGTGTTTTTTTATACATTACTGATGAAATATCACTTTTGGACAAAAATATTTTAGAAGTATGTTTATAGTATGCATAGTACTAGCTTCAATAAAGGCAGACCTTAGTTCCCCCATTACAAAGCAAGCCTGCAGTCTGCACAGAGCGTGACTATGCTCTTTGCTGTTTTTGTTCCATTGAAATATCTTAAATTAACAAGAGACAATTCCAAATTAAAATCTAGCTTCTATAACATAAATTGAGACCAAATGAACATTTTTTCTAAATTTTAGCTCTTTTTTCTTTCATTTATATGCTTAAAAAAGGGATTCACAAAGGTATTTTAACATGTTGGGACTTTTTTCGAACATCTGGTTGATTTTAGAACTGTCCACAGCTAATTTAGTGAATTTCAATATCAAAATGTTCTGAATAAAACTGATCATCAAACAATGTAGTGGAACAGAATTCTATGAAAGGGTAAAACAATTACAAAATCATGCTAGGAGGACAACATTTTTCTTTTGATAGTTTCATCATAGTAAGAGAAAATGTTGATTCAAGAAGGCGACAACATCTGCCAGTCTCTGTTCATAATAGATCAACATAGCTGTGTCATTATTTAACAGCATATTAAAATAGACATAATATAATTACACTGTGTAAAAATAAGTTTTAAATTAAACAGGCTCTATAAGAATGCTCAATAAAGGTTAATATAAGCACAGTTCAAACACTGTTAGTATGAAAGTCAAGCAGCAGTTCTGCAAGAAAAATATGAAATGTCTCTGTTTATACTTGGATATTCTCAAGTTATATCAAGAGATAAAAAAAAATTTAATTTTTTTTTTTTTTTTTTCCTCCATGTTTTTCATGGAACCACAAAATAATAATGTTTCTACTTTCTGTGTGAAGTCTGCTATACTCAATAGTAGGTGTTATATTTAAAAAATTCACCTCTCAAATTACCATAATCATTTATTTGCTTCATTGATCATAGTCAAATTATACTCCCCACCCCGCAAATAATTTATGGTTTTACCCCCCTCCCCCCACCAATTATAGACTACTGGTAAAATTCAATAGATATAAGTGGCATACTACAAAATTAGTAAACAGATTTTCCCATTCTAATTTTAACATAAAGGAGAAGAAAAAAATGCCCTTTCATAATAGGTTTGAAGGATTCTTGTAAGATTCTGGTATTAATAGCATTATAAACAAAGAGTAAAAGATGAAAACAAGAGCTGGTAATCTATTCTACTTATGACACATACAGGCGGGGTCTGTAAATAAAACACATGTTATGTATAAATTGTTAAATTCTACTGTGCAAAACATAACATAAAGACATCTTATGAACAGACTACTGTATTTAACGAGTTGCAAATACAGTAGACAGTTCATTGGGATGACTAATATTATATATCTTATAGTTAAAGTGCAACCTTTTAATAAAAAAATTAGGTTAAAACAATTCTTATCAAAGTGACCATAGAAATTTTAATAGCAATTATATGACTTCATAACATATTTTTCAATTAAGAACACAGAAATCAAAATTGGTAAAAATTTCAACTGCTCTCAAAGAAATCAGAATAAGTCTCCCTATCTTTTCTGTTTTGTTTTCATTTTCTAACACAAGGCATCACTGGAAAAAGGTTACACTATAACATGGGTTATATCAAAGTGCAGCTACCTGATCAATAATGAATAAACACGCATAAATTCATAAACTAACTAATATCAATATCAATAATACAAATATTACCATAACAAATTGTTATTAACACTTGCTGCGATAAGCTATAAGCTTAAATTGAATCTGAAATCTGACTTTTCTTTAGATCCTTACTACTTATTCTTTTAACTTAATAGCATCACATTGATATGTAAATGTACAAGGAAATGAAACAGTCACCAATTCAATAAATATTTATCCTGGACAAAATTAAGATAATGTTATGCCCCGCAAAAAATAAGCAGCCGCCGACTTAAGTTCCATAAGCCTAAATTTCATCAACACCATCTTTAAGCCTTTACCAACAAAAATCATGCTTACAATAATGATGATGATAATAATAATAATAATGATGCACCAGTCATTTGTTATACCATCCCAATACCCTGAAATATTGCAGGAAGTTTCACTTTGGGATTGTAACACACTGCTAAAAACTCTCAATCCAGATTTGCTAAGTCAAACATCCCCCCCAATCCCTGGCCATTTTTGTTGCAAAATTAAAATCAATGCATTAACCCAGAGCAGTAAGACCAATTTCCCCTGCAATCCCAAAACTTCCCAAGTTCAAATTTGGCAGTAACAAACAACTGGTACATTATATTAAACACATTCTATAAAACATGGAAGGTCGGGATAAAGTGACATTAATGATATCAATACATTAGTACTGACAATATAGCCGGACCATTACCATACTTACATCCATGATCTTAGCTTGTTCCTTTCTTCTCATCTCTTCAAGTCTGTCTTTCTCCCGTCTCGCCTCCTCGGCCTCTCTAAACTTCTTGTTCTTGTCTTCTACACCCTGTTCTAACTGTAAATACAATAGCAATACTGATATAACAATTTAAAGTAACACATGAAAAGAGAAATGCAACTTTGACTTAATGTTTTCTTTCACATCACCTTTCGTAAGAAGGAATGATTTTAAGTTAAAACTGAATAGTTAAGGTTATATAAATGGTGACTTTCGGAAGAACACCGTTTAAAATGAAGGGTTTGTTCATCTGAATTGAGCAGACTGTCTGATATCACCATTTATTTCACACCTTATAAAATATAACATATAAACTCAGTGTTTCAATCACATGATGTTCCAGTAGAAATCAGTATCTAATTCAATTGCATATCTTACTCCATGTAGCCTCATTTCCATTTTCAGGTTCAAAAATTTATTTCATTTCCTTATTGTACCTAAATTCTGTCAAAATGTCAAAAAAATAAAAAATTCCTGTGAAGGTAAAAAAAGCACTTTTCAACGAAATGCCAGATTGAAGTATATGCGGGAAACTTACCATTGTAGCCCTCTTGATGGCGGAGAACTTTTCTTCCTGAGCATCTACAGTTTTCTCAAAGTCCTGCTGTCGTCTCAACAACTCCTCTACTATTGTAATGTTATCACCAAAGTTCTTGTCCTTGGTCTGATTCTCTCTTACTGACATCCATCCTTCCAGCTGTTCCATCTCATGTTTCAATTGCTACATTTTGTAAAATATATACAATTGTTAGGAGTGCTTAAAACGAAATAAATTAAGTCATCTATTATTAAAAACCAATCGCTAATGGCTTTACAGGATATGGAGTACACTTTTGAATATACAGTCCCCTCCAAAAGTTTCCGGACAAACATTTTTTATTGAAATATACTATGTAATTTGCTTATTTTACAAGTTTGAAACAACAGAAGTACATTAAAATAAGGTGTGATAAAGAAAGGTAATAAATTAACATAGTCAGTGTGCAAAAAGTCATTATTTGTGCCAAAAATTGCTTTTTCCCTAAAACCTATGTTTTTTGTGGTACATTTCAATTAACCTTAAAGTGAAGTGTATGGGAAAAACATTCCAAAATCAGGAAAAAAGTAAATTGTAATGAGTATGATAACATGTGGAAACAGTTGTCATTTCTTTCCTTAAAAAGAAGAATGCTGTCAGACGGATCAGGGTGTTCCTGTTGTAGAGATTGCACGCCAGCTTGGGAGGTCAAGGTAAGTCATTCTCAGTTTTTTAATATGCATTTTGTATTAAATTTAAGTGTCACATAGTGTTGCATTGTTGTTTCAGGCAAGCAAAAGTAAGAATTTCCCCCTTTTTTAACCCTCACATGGATTTTGTATTTCAGGTCAACAGTCTACGAGGCACTACAACGTGGTCAAGAGAGCGGTTCCCATGCTCCTAGACCACAATCTGGAAGCCCCAAGGTCTCCAACATGAGGAATGACAGGCCACTCATGCAAACTTCCCTCCAGAACCATAAATTAACAGTTCCTGCCATGAGGCTGGTCGGGCAGGAAGGTGTAGTGAATGCTTCAAATTCTACTGTGAGACGCAGACTTAATGCCGCTGGCCTCAATGGACATTTAGCAGTTAAGAAGCCTCTTTTAAGTGTCAGTCATCTCCAACTGCCATTGGAGTTTGCTTGCCATTATGAACACTGGTCTTATGTAGACTGGTCAAATGTGTTATTCACGGATGAGTCAAAAGTCAGGTGTAGGCGTACCGGTGAAAAGTTCAGGGATAATTGTGTGATTCAAACTGTGAAGTTTGGAGGTGTTGGGGTGATGGTGTGGTGTGCCATGACATACAGGGGGGCATACATGCCTACTAGAGATGATGGATGGTTAAATGGAACAGGATATGTGAACATTCTGAAAACTTTTGCAGTGCCATCAGCCCCTCTCCTGGGATATGGGGACAATGACTGGCACAGGATGACAATGTGTCAAGCCATAGAGCTAGACTAGTACAGGAGTGGAAGGAGGGCAATGACATAAGGTGTCTGGATTGGCCCCCACAATCACCAGACCTCAATCTCATAATAAACTTGTGGTGGAATGTGAGGTGTGGACTTAAGAATCAATTAAGATTCAACATGGGTGAACTGGGGGCAAATGTAGTAGCATCATGGGAGTCCATAACAAGAGAAAGGTGCTCTCGGCTTGTGAGAGGCATGCCTAAAAGAATACAGGCTGTCATTGAAGCCTGCAAAGGGCATACCAAGTATTAAGGTGCACAAACTGTAAGGTATGAACAAGGACGTTTTGAGGACAATTGGACTGCTTCAGATAATTTTGACCGATTATTTACATAATTGGCATCAAGATGTTGACAATTGTTTTTTTCGCTAATGTTTGATGTTATTGTTGAAAATTAAAGAGATATTTATTCCGTTGGCTGTTAATTCATTGATATTTCTTTCATTTTATATGACTTGTGACTATGTCCAGAAACTTTTGGAGGGGACTGTATATCAAACAAAGAAATTTTTATTTTGGTCATATAATAAAACATTACTAGTATGAAGATTTTGTGAATATCCAAGTAATACTTATTGACCTGGCAAATGTTATATTCACCTCATCATTGTACAATAATTGTACAGTCATCATTCTCCAGAGTTTCTATAATTTTTCATCCCACAAACTGCCTACTGATTGAATCTCAAATAAAATTTCAACAAACAATTATGGTTGTAGGACACACAGAAAAATCCACTAGACAGCAGACAATATCAAAACATGGCCAACAAAATTTCAAGTAAACACTTTCTTTTCAACAGGTCTAGTTAAGAACATAGTGTAGAACATATTTTACAATACCTGTGCCTCCAAGTTCTGTTCACATAAGACCTTTGTCTGCTCTAATGTGGAAAGTAATAGTTTCCATGCAGAATTCAAGTCTGTAATTTTTGCTTCAATCTAAAAAAGACAGAAATTTTATTACTGTCCTTTAAACATATTCTTTTTGGAGCAAAAATGTAAGGTTCATACAAATGTTAGGGGCATATTGAATATCATTGAAATTGAAATCCCACAAGCTAACATTGAAAAGGTAAAAACTGAAATCAAAGGACTGATCAATGATACAAATTCTGCATAGGTTAGACTATTTCTAGTTAAAAGTGTACATTTGTCAAATCAACCACACAATTAAATGTAACCATGTAACAAAATGTGAGGAAAAACTTGGAAGAGATATCTATGCTTGTAATACTTAGAGGATGACAGCAACAAATCATGAAATGTAACATATTATCGTTTTGATTTGATTGTTTCTAAATATAACATATACCTGATCACTGAGGAAATGTTTCTCATCAATCATAACTTGACCTGTCTGTAGGAACCTATTTACAGCATCTTTTCTCGAATCCACCTCAGAACGGTGCTCCTTCCAGCGTGACATACTGGCCTCTGCACCTTGAAGGTCTCGAGGAAACTCCATGGCTGTAATCACTGCCCTCATCTCACTGATCCAAGCCCTGTTGATAAACAAAGAAAGGATGTTAAATGTTTTATTTCATAGGTCTATATAAATGACTGTCTCTAATATTTCAAATGATGCATTTTAAACAATATACAAAATTAAAGGCATTAACTTTTTAAGACTTTATCATCTCTCAACAATGAAACTACTTTTTCAACTTGTCTTCATTTTGGTGAAGGTAACCACTAATATAACTAGAACTATCACTAAATGTGATTAATACCCCCACAAGTCTGCTTCGGAAATGAGGATGTTACTAGTAACAGAATACCTTGTAATAGAATTGAAACATAGAGTTATGGTTGTGGGCAATTAAAGATAATTGTGGTTCATGTATGTTGCATTTCCTTTCAATGTGGTTGGCCATTGATGAAGTTTAATTGAATTACTCTGTAATAAGTCCAGAGAGACAAAGAAAAAGAACAAAGGGCAATAACTCTATAAATACTGAAGATAGAGTTATAGTTCTTGTGCACTGCACTTCCTCTTATTGTGCTTGACCATTGTATGAAGTTGTTTTGAATTCCAACCAGAACGTTTTAAGTTATGCTCCGGACAAGGAAAAGTATCAAAGGGCAGTAACTCTGTATTTTGTCAAAATGGAGTTATGGCTCTTGTGCACTGCACTTCCTTTTAATGTCCTTGACAACTGTATGAAGTTGTACTGAATTTCAAACAGTAGTTTTCAAGTTATGCTCTGGACAAGGAAAAGTACCAAAGGTCAATAACTCTGTAATTAGTCAAGATGGAGTTATGGTTCTTGTGCACTGCACTTCCCCTTATTGTGCTTGACCATTGTATGAAGTTGTTTTGAATTCCAACCAGTAGTTTTCAAGTCATGCTCTGGACAAGGAAAAGTAACAAAGGGCAGTAACTCTGTAATTAGTCAAGATGGAGTTATGGTTCTTATGCACTGCACTTCCTCTCAATGTGCTTGACCATTGTATGAAGTTATAATGAATTCCAACAATAAGTCTTCAAGTTATGGTCCAGACAAAAGAAAGCAATGGAAAAGTAACAAAGGGCAATAACTCTGTAATTAGTCAAGATGGAGTTATGGTTCTTGTGCACTGCACTTCCCCTTATTGTGCTTGGCCATTGTATGAAGTTGTTTTGAATTCCAACCAGTAGTTTTAAAGTCATGCTCTGGACAAGGACAAGAAACAAAGGGCAGTAACTCTGTAATAAGTCAAAATGGAGTTATGGTTCTTGTGCACTGCACTTCCTCTCAATGTGCTGGACCATTGTATGAAGTTATAATGAATTGCAACAATTAGTCTTCAAGTTATGGTCCGAACAAAAGAAAGCAATGGAAAAGTAATAAAGGGCAATAACTCTGTAATTACTTTAGATAGAGTTATGGTTCTTATGCACTGCACTTCCTCTCAATATGCTTGACCATTGTATGTAGTTATATTGAATTCCAACCATTAGTCTTCGAGTTATGGTCCGGACAAAAAAAAAAGAAGGCAATGGAAAAGCAACAAAGGGCAATAACTCTGTAATTACTTTAGATAGAGTTATGGTTCTTGTGCACTGCACTTCCCCTTATTGTGTTTGACAATTGTATGAAGTTGTTTTGAATTCCAACCAGTAGTTTTCAAGTTATGCCACGGACAAGGAAAAGTAACCAAGGGCAATAACTCTGTACTTAGTCAAGACAGAGTTATGTTTCTTACGCACTGCACTTCCTCTCAATGTGCTTGACCATTGTATGTAGTTATATTGAATTCCAACCATTAGTCTTCAAGTTATGCTCCGGACAAGGAAAATGCAACGGACAAAAAAAAAAGCAATGGAAAAGCAACAAAGGGCAATAACTCTGTAATTACTTTAGATAGAGTTATTGTTCTTGTGCACTGCACTTCCCCTTATTGTGTTTGACAATTGTATGAAGTTGTTTTGAATTCCAACCAGTAGTTTTCAAGTTATGCCCCGGACAAGGAAAAGTAACAAAGGGCAATAACTCTGTAATTAGTCAAGATAGAGTTATGATTCTTGTGCACTGCACTTCCTCTCAATGTGCTTGACCATTGTATGTAGTTATATTGAATTCCAACCATTAGTTTTTAAGTTATGCTCCGGACAAGGAAAATGCAACGGACGTCTGGACCGACCGACCGACCGCCCGACCGACCGACCGACCACCGGGTGACTCCTATATACCCCCCCAAACTTCGTTTTTGGGGGTATAACAATGAACATTAAAAAAATAAGACCTGCCTTCTGAACAAAACAAAATTATTATGAGACTTCATAATTATACTATTAGGAGTATTTAACAAAATCTCTCTAATACCAAGTTAACAGAATTATTGCCAAAAAGGAACCATAAACCTTTCTCAATACCAGCAAAGGAGATAACCCTCATTAACTTCTTTAAATCAAAACTGACAATATTGGTCGTATTATAAAACAGTCCTAAACGTACATTAATTCTCTGTAGTCATTGAAGTACATCTGTAATTGTTCCGCTTGGTTAAGTTTCTCTTTCCTCATCGCAGCTTTTTCCACGAGGATATTCCAGGCCTGTACCATTTCTTCATGTTTGGCAGCAATATGCTCCTGGGCATCTGGAAACTGACTGATCAACCTCTCAGCCTCCTTGGTGATAGACTCTACCTGCTCACTGATGGCCGCAAGGTCACGCTGTGAATTGAAATATTTATATTTTGCACTACAAGTTATTTCTTTGTTTCTTAAGGAAAGTAAGTATCAAAATTCAAAACACTATGTTGATATCATTTTGCAACTTTATAGTTTTAAACACATCAGATAACCCTTCAAAGCATATTCTTCACACAAAGACCAGAATAAAGCCATAAAATTTTTAAAGGCTAGCCACATACTAGCAACCCATTAAGTGTTTAAGACAAATGATTCAACAAGAATTTGTAACAGAGTTACCAACGCCCCCCGCCCTGGGAGTTTTATATGAAGCATAAAATTGTGCTATTTCAAAAGATTGAGGTATGGATCTCAGGACATTCAGTCCAAAATCATGATCAATGCTAGATCTGCAAATGTAACAATAAATTTGTTAAAAAAATAAAATGAAACACGGAATTTAAAAATCTATCATGTTAAGCTTTGACTTCTAAGTGTGAACTTGACCTTGGAGGTAGGGGAGCAGGTGTTGTGCATGACATAACGTCTTATTATTGTGACTATTTGTGCCAAGTTATTTCAAAATCCCTTGAACTATGAAGAAGTTCTAGATTCAATACAAAATATACCCTATAACAGACTATGTTAATTTTTGACCTCTAAGTGTGACCTTGACCTTGGAGGTAGGGATGCAGGTGTTGCGCATGACACATCCTCTTATTATAGTGACTATTTGTGCGAAGTATTTTCACAATCCTTTGATCTATGAAAAAATTATAGACCTGACACAAAATATACCCTGTAACAGACTATGTAAGTATTTGACCTCCAAGTGTGACCTTGACCTTGGAGGTAGGTGACCGGTTTTTGCGCATGACACATCATCTGATTATTGTTAACAATTATGGCAAGTATTTACAAAAGTCCTTCATAGATAAGAAAGTTATGGACTGGACACGACATATACCCTCAAATAGACAATGTTGACCTTGAATGAACAAGTACGACCTTGACCCTGAAGGTACGGGTCTGGTTGTTGCGCATGACACATCGTCTTATTATAACAAACATTTGTGCCAAGTTATCTCAAATTCCTTTGATAAATGACAAAGTTATGGACCGGACACGAAATATACCCTGTAACAGACTATGTTAATATTTGACCTCCAAGTGTGACCTTGACGTTAAAGGTAGGCAACTGGTTTTTGCGCATGACACATCGTCTGATTATTATGAACAATTATGGCAAGTATTTACAACAAGAGCCCGGTTTGAGCCGGGTGATGCTCCTCGAATAGGTTTTGGACACAGGAAAGTACACCTCTTGTAGTTTCAGAGTTATGTCCGTGGAAAAAGTTCAAAGTGCAATAATTCTAAAATTAGGCAAGGCAGAGTTACAGTTCTTTGCACTGCACTTCTAATCAATGTGATCTATCAACCTACAAAGTTTCTTGATGATATCTCTTATGATTTCCGAGTTATGTCCTGGACAATTCAAAAAGTAAAAATAAACAAAGGGCAATAACTCCAGAATTAGGCAAGGAAGAGTTATGATTCTTGTGCACTGCACATCTACCCATTGAGATTTATCTACCTACAAAGTTTCATGTTGATATCTCTTATAGTTTTACAGCTATGTCCTGGATAAGATTTTTCTAAAAGGGGAGATTATTCAAAAATAAAGGCTTAACAGAGTTATGGTTCTTTTGCACTGCACCTCTACTCAATGAGATCTATCTACCTACAATGTTTCATGTTGATATCTCTTATAGTTTTAGAGTTATGCCCGGACAAGATTTTTCTATAAGGGGAGATAATTCAAAAACCAGGCAAAATAGAGTTATGGTTCTTTGACACTGCACTCCCCCTTGATTGCCCTCTACCACTGTATGAAGTTTCAACAAATTATCTCCAAGGGTTTTCAAGTTATGTTCCGGACAAAGTTCAAGTTCAAAGTATTAAAATAAACAAAGGGCAATAACTCCAAAATTAGGACAAAAAGAGTTATTGTTCTTATGCACTGCACATCTACGCATTGAGATCTATTCACCTACAAAGTTTCATGTTGATATCTCTTATAGTTTTAGAGTTATGCCCCAGACAAGATTTTTCTATAAGGGGAGATAATTCAAAAACCAGGCAAAATAGAGTTATGGTTCTTTGACACTGCACCCCCCTCAATGCCCTCTACCACTGTATGAAGTTTCAACAAATTATCTCCAAGGGTTTTCAAGTTATGTTCCGGACAAAGTTCAAAGTATTAAAATTAACAAAGGGCAATAACTCCAAAATTAGGATGAAAAGAGTTATTGTTCTTATGCACTGCACATCTACCCATTGAGATCTATTCACCTACAAAGTTTCATGTTGATATCTCTTATAGTTTTAGAGTTATGCCCCGGACAAGATTTTTCTATAAGGGGAGATAATTCAAAAACCGGGCAAAATAGAGTTATGGTTCTTTGACACTGCACTCCCCCTCGATGCCCTCTACCACTGTATGAAGTTTCAACAAATTATCTCCAAGGGTTTTCAAGTTATGCTCCGGATAAGACAACGGACGGACAGACGGACGGACGGACAGACGGACAAGGCGCCGACTATATGCTCCCCCGAAATTTTTCGGGGAGCATAAAAACCCTTCATAGATAAGAAAGTTATGGACCGGACACGACATATACCCTCAAATAGACTATGTTAATATTTGACCTCCAAGTGTGACCTTGACCTTGAAGGTAGGTGACTGCTTTTTCCGCATGACACATCGTCTGATAATTGTGAACAATTATGGCAAGTATTTACAAAATCCCTTCATAGATAAGAAAGTTATGGACCGGACACGAAATATACCCTGTAACAGACTATGTTAATATTTGACCTCCAAGTGTGACCTTGACCTTGAAGGTAGGTGACTGGTTTTTGCGCATGACACATCGTCTGATTATTGTGAACAATTATGGCAAGTTTTTACAAAATCCCTTCATAGATAAGAAAGTTATGGACCGGACACGACATATACCCTCAAATAGGCAATTTTGACCTTGAATGAGCAAGTGTGACCTTGACCCTGGAGGTAGGGGTCTGGTTGTTGCGCATGACACATCGTCTTATTATAATAAACATTTGTGCCAAGTTATTTCAAATTCCTTTCATAAATGACAAAGTTATGGACCGGACACGAAAGTGTGACGGACGGACAGACGGACGGACAGACAGACAGACGGACGGAGCCTATTTCTATATCCCCCTTTTTTCTTCGAAAAGGCGGGGGACAATTAATCTGAGCAATAGTAACCACTGGAATTAATAGACCTTAAAATTACTAACATTTATTACACATACTTCTGCTAAAGTTAGAAATATCATTTTCTATCCACAGTGTTACAAGTCTGTTTATTAATATAAACTAATCTACCTGAATCCAAAAACAATATCACAAACTAATAAATTACCTCCATGATTTCATGTTTGCTAACTAATGCTTGTGCAGTTTCAAGGTCATGGCCAAAGTTATCACTGGAAACAACGCCTTCTTTTTCCTGTATCCATTCCAGAGTGTCGTCTGCATCACGTCCATATATATGGACTTGTTTTGCAGCCATGAGTGCCTGAATTCAAAAGATTCATTTAAACAATTTTACATTAGCAGATAAAATGCCTTACCTTTAGTGTTTAGCCAAGCCAGATAAAAATCTGACCAAATATTTGATGGTGCCTTAATTTTAGAATTCTTACACTAAGGTCACTTGAATGAACAACAGACTGTTCTAATTCAAAATCGGACAAGTACATCACATAAAACTAAGTTTCAATGATTATTTACTATTTCTTGATTATCAATATAAATCTTATGAGATCATATAGTTGTTCTATCAATTTATTGCAAGATGTAAATAATAAATTCAGAAAATATTTCATTTTTACCCTATTTTGAAAGAATTTTTCTTCCAAATTATTGATTTTTTCATTGTTTTTATGCTCTTGTTGGGATTCAAGGGCTCTTCAACATCTAAGGATAAATTGGTTAATTTTGATTTTATAGAAAGGATCTTAGCGTGCAACCAGGAACCTTCCAAAAACTTTTAAAACATGTCATCTACAATAATGCTCGGAAAATAACCAAGAACTATGTACCTCCTGTCTAGCATTGGTAACTTCCTTTAGCTCCGCCCACATCTGTGTAATTTCAGTGTTCTTTTTCTCAATCTTATCTTTTTCATAGTGATCAGCTTCAATCATTGCCGCAGCTTTACCTTGAAGTGTTTTAACACGGTCCTCACTTGCCGTCAATTCATGCATGAAGTCGTCAAACTTCTGCTGCAAGATCTGTAATAAACAGAATGTGGAACAGTTTGAATACTAGCATAGTAATATTATTTTGATTCAGCCAAGTCTTTTATTTTAGTTAACAATACAAAACTTAAACTAACTAAAATGATTCTATATACTAGTTCAGTTTTTTCTTCCTCTTCATTTTACTACGGAAAAACTAATGTCATTTAGAATATATGTCATTTTAATTCGGTTGGGTTTCAAGGCAAACCAACAATCTTACATTCTAGCTTTACTGGTTGAGGAAGACTTTCAAAGATCTTCAGCACATATTTCATGCACAAATAAACAAGGACCTCTACCCATCTTGTGCAAACTAACTGGATAAAATTCTGAACGTGAAAAAATTCTGCAGTCCCAAGCAGGATTTATATCAACAATGATTCAACAGTGATGAGGGGTAAAGGATTTGAAGTCAGTGGTCTTACACAACTGTAACCAAAGGATATATTCTAGACTATAAAATAGAGAAAAACGAAATCCCTAAAGAATGCACAAAGCAACATAATTGAAAATGTTACAGGCTCTGTTTGATTAAGCCTGTTTATGGATGGTACTGGAAAGTGCAAGTTACTATCCAAGCCCCCTAGCATTGGCTTAAGCAGAATTCAACATTTAAACATGAAAATGGTGAAATTTTGAATTTAGTAACATCCGCAGATGTGTTCATACAGCAGTTATCATGGAACCTTCAATGTGACACTGCATGCATTTCATGAAAAGCAGCATATGGTCCCCAAGTAAAAGAAAGCACAAGCCCTAAACGAGAAAACATAGGACAGAATTAAACCAAACCTCAACATGTTCAAGATCCTGACCATAGTCTTCAGATGCAGCTATCACAACCATGTCAGCTATCCATATAGACACCTCTTCACATTCACGATAAAATTCAAACATGGCACGTGTCTCCATTAACTTCTTCCTTCGCTGACTTGTCAAATCTTGTAACTCACTGTATTTATTCTCTATTGAAGCCTTAAAACATTAAACAAATTAGTGCTATGTTTAAATATATTACACTTGTAAATGAGAACTGTTACAGAGAACTGGTTTTTTATCCATAATTACCCCACAGCAAAATTAATAATTTGAGGTGCTTTTTTGGCATATATAATTGATCTGTAGGGTGAGATACTTTATATTGTAATGTCAGAGCCAGGTAATTTTCAAAATAGATGTATACCATGTTGACAATATTTGAATGGCTGATAACAAAAAAAATCCTTAAGTTCCCACGAGTAAAATCTCTTCCAATTTTCAACATATTATCTCTTTACAAGAACATCATGCATATGATGGTTATGGATTGCCCTCAAACAGTTTAAAAATAGAAACTTGTCTAATGACCAAGTTTTTTTCATATTAGATCACTTGAAACCTCATATCTGAAGTTAAAAAGTAAAACATGTAAAACAAATTTCAATCATTATGTTCATTGGCTTTCAATCTACCAGCACTTAAGGAGTAAATCTTAATGCACACAAGAATCAGATTTAAAAGAACATGAAAATTTAAAGTTACCTGTTGTGTTTTAATATTCTCACTATCAAAATGGCTCTTGTCAACAAGGCTTCTGCTGAGTGCAGAAAGTTCACCTATATTGTTCTGAAAGTTATCAATATCTCTTTCTAGAGCATCCAATTTCTTCTGTAACATCTGAAAATATATAGTATCTATGTGAATGTACACTGCCAGCATCATTTAAATGTATCATAAACATGTAGCATCAATGTAAATGTATAGCATCTATGTCAATATGTAGCATCAATGTAAAGATGTAACATCAAAGTTAATATACAGCATCAATGTAGATACATATAGCATCAATGTAGATATATAGCATCAATGTAGATATATAGCAACAATGTCAATATGTAGCATCAATGTAAAGATGTAGCATCAATATAATACCATAAATATAAAAAATAGCATCAATATAAATATATAGCATTGATGTAAAGCTGTATCATCAATAAATATGTATTGTCTATGTAAACATATAGCATCACTGTAAAAATGTAAGATTATGTTAATATATAGTATATATCAATGTAAATATGTAGCATCCAAGTATAATATATGCAAAGCATTAATGAACTATTTTGTAAAATATAGTAAGTATACAGAATCAACTTACATATAGCATCATCGTAAATATATTAGCAAATTATTTGCATTCAAATGAAATTTACAGCATCATACAAAATTTTTTTACCAGTTTTACTGAACAATTGTAAAAGCTCCGATACTTATGTTCATTAAAAAAATAATTGTGCAATAAATATATAAATTACTTGAACTGAATCTTCATCCTTTCCAAAGTCTGGATTCGTTAATGATGGCATCTTTTCATTCATCCACAATTCAGCCTCTGTTACTTCTGAGTAGAACTGAAAAAAAATAGATATGATATAAAACTTATCGAGTTAAGCAAACTTCTATTCATTAAATACAAATTAACTTTGATAGGAACTGAAGGCACTTTAATCCTTTTAATCATGAAACTGGAAACAGCAATAATTAATAACAGGCCTTAAAGAATTTATATAGGGTCACTTGCCCTGCATGAGAATCTCACTCGCACTACCGGCCAAGTTTGATCAACATTTTTCTCGCCCGACACAAACTTTCACTTGCAAAATGCGTGTGGATGAGTGGATTTTACAAGGCCCAAGATTGTTTCAAAGTGGGATTCCTACAATTTCCATTCAGTCAACTAATCAAGTAAGAGGTAAGAATTTTTCAACAATGCTAACCTTCTGAGATTCAAGAGCATCCTGTAATTTAATCCTTCTAACAGACGACACTTCTTTCAACTGTTGTAATTGTAAATGTAATTCATCTAATCTCTTCTCAATTTCAGCCGAAGCAAAATGTTTACTTTTGATCATATGTTGCGCAGCATTCGCTACAGCATCTATTAAAGGTTCATGAGCCACTATTTCTGATTCTAAAGCCTGGTGCTTCTTTGACAAGTTTTGCACAGCCACTAAAGAATTTCCAAGGTCCGTTGATTCTGCGATTGGTTTCTTTTCTTGTATCCAAGACAACTCGTCCTCAACATCGCGATAAAACTGATACATAAGTAATGCTTCTTCAAGATTATCACGACGGATATTACTAGGCTCGTGCAATGAGTCATATCTGTCTTTGACCTCCTTAGCACGTGCCTGAAGTTCTTTGTTTAAGAAATGTTTTGCTTCTTTGAATTCCTGTGCTGCATCAGTAACATCTTGAACTTTTTCTTGACGCGTGTTAATGTCTACCTCTAGTAACTGCAATATAAATGTTAAATATAACCTCATTGTCAATGAAAATACTGGTATAATAAATAAACAATTTGGATACAACATCTTTATTAATATTCTTCTACTACAAACTTTATGAACATTTTCATTTCAAATACAATCAATGCTGTTAAAGAAATAAGAATTTTAAGTTTTCATGGTGGAGAACAAACATCAACCACTGATAACCTGTTTGTCACACTGAGACCTCTTCATGAGGACATTCTTATCATTTGAATATCATTTGTCATTCAAGTTCAAACATCAAAAATAGAAGTCACATTAAAATTGTCAAGCAAAAACCAATCATTAACTAAAATATAATCATGACAAATAAAGAAACAAAATCTCTATAACAGCACGTATTTCACTTAAAATGTAACTTCATATCATACCTGATGTTTCTTCAGAAGATTTTTAACTGACGACAAGTCTTTCCCATGATCCTCTGACATCAGCTGATTCTCAACTTCATCCATCCATGTTAATAGATCATCTACAATACGGTTAAACTGTAGTGCCTGGTATGCATCTGTTAATTTATCCTTCTTCTCAGAGCTTGCTGCTAACAATGCCTGCCAGCTCATCTCTGTCTCCTCCATTCGTTTCTTAATATCCTCCGACTGATAGTGGTCCTCGTCAACTAGACCTTGACCTTCCGCGATGACGGCATCAACTCTGTTACGATTGGCCATTACTTCAGCTTCAAATGCCTGGTGCTTCTGTAATTTAGCTTGTAGATTTGTTGGATCTCTGTATGATTCATCTGTGGCAATCTGAAGTTTTTCTGTAATCCATGTGGATACCTGCAAAACAGAAATATCATTGTTTTTTCCTGCACAATTGTTTGTATGCTTTTTTTTTTACTCTTTTTTTTGGTCATGTTTCCTCTACAAGAATCAACATAAAACACAGACAGTTTAGACAACATGCCACAAACTTACAAATCCGAGATCTTCTGAATTCATTACATGTCACTGAGCTCAACATAACGCTTTCCTGTTATTTTGTTTTAAAGAACTAATAATCAACAATAACAATTTATATTACTGATACTGCTCAGCATTTTGGAAAATAAGATACTAATCTTTTTTGACATTATTACACAAAATAATTCATAAATGAAAACATTTGCCATAATATTCTAGATTTATGTAACTGCAACTTGAACTTTCAGTACACAAACATTTTTCAGCAAAAATTATTGCAATATTTAACCTTCAATCAATATATCAACCTAACACACATTACTAATACACACCTCATATAGATTTCTCAAGAACAACTGGTAATTTTTGGAATCTCCCAGTTTTGTCTTCCTGGCAGATGAGGTTTCCTTCAGGCGTGTGTATCTGTCTTCAACAGCCTGTTTACGTTGTTTGATCTCGTCCCAGGCGTAGTGGTTCTGTGTCTCCAGCTTGGCAGCAAACTCCCTCACATCTTCTACCTGCTCTACTTGCTGCTCCATCAAGTTCTCAAACCTCTCGTGATTCTTCAATAACGCTTCAACACCATATAAGGAATTCTATAACAACAATAATGAAAGTTTTTGCTGAAAGCAATTTAATACTCTTTTTTTTTGTTGGGTTTTGGTGACATACCGATACAGTATAGGTCATATGGTGACATTGCCTTTCTGTACATTATTTCAGGCACCCAAGTAGAACCAACAACATTCCATAAACTAGCTGGATAGTTTCCTCACATGAAAGAATTCAAAGTCCCTGTCAGGATTGGAACCCACAGCGGTGAGGGGCAAGTGGTTTGAAGTTAGAAATCTTAACCACTCTGCAACTGACACCCCTTAATACTCTTTATAAACTTATTTCATTGTAAATCACTAATTCTCCAAACATCCTTTCAACATGACACATAACTAATATTTAACCTTCTGCTCAAACCAAAATGATACACCTCTTCCATCAGTATAGAGCCAGGCCAGCCTGCATATGTGCAGTTTGACCAGGCTCTATACTGTTGGTAGTTTAATATTTTAATTTTGATGTAGACCTCACTTAAACTTTGAAGGGATTCTTCTTAGTTCAAGCTAGGCAAATCCATTACAAATACTCAGCAGTTTAAAAGTGTTGTGTATTAAGTGAATAAGAAAAATAAATTGGATATCTTGTCATCAGAATTATTTTACATATGCAAGTATGAATTTTTCAGGTCAGGTGAAAGGTACATCTATTTAAATGGGAAAGGCTTTTGCAAGCCAAATGTACCTATGTACCTATTTTCCTTGAATATTAAAAGTATTCAAAGTTAGGAAATTATCAATCACCAAAACATCACCTGTTTGATTTTTTTTAATCCTGACCACCTGTTTAATGGGATCAATTTAATTTAATCAATTAAACAGAAAAGAACAGAAATTAAAGAGAAGAAAAGGACAGAAACTTACACCAAGGTCTTCATTGGTAAGGAAGGCTTCTTTACTGGCCAGCCATGCATCTGCTTGTTCAGCTTCAACTTGGAATTTCTACAAGACATTATCATCACAGTAAAAGTAAAATACAAAACCATGGTATGATTTCCAAATCCCAAATATTTTTTGTAACATAATATTTAAAATATATCTCCTTTCATACTATCAAGTGAAGATTCAATGTTCACTATGCATCATTACAGTAACTTTATCAAGCAAAGATTATGATGATGGTTCATAAATAGTTCCTTTGCTCTTAAACCTTTATACCTTCAAAACATATCAAAGGGTCGACTGCAAAACTGTTGTAAGTCTTTCTTTATTTCATATAAGTTTAGTTACTGCAGTTTTTGTGGTCAACCCTCAACACACTTCTAATATTGTAATATTTTAATCTGTATAATAAACAAATTATTTATGTAATCACCCTAAGTTCATGGCACTGCTGTAAAAGATGTTGGCGTTTATCCCATGCTGCACTCAACTGTATTTTCGTCTTGTTTAACTGACCGATCATACTCTGTATTTCCTCTAGCGCATAATGTTTCTCTTTAATTAAATTGTTGCCATGTTCTCGTATTGTAGCAAAGTGAGGTTTACGTCCATCAATCTCTGCCTTTCTCTCAGCGTGTAACTGTAACTGAGTCAAAGCCTCAGCAACATCCTTTCCAATCTCCCCGGAGTTCATCTTAGTGATCATATCATTGGACCAGGAAATCTGCAAAGATCAGGAGCAAATTTCCACAGGTCAGTTGACAAACATAAAAAAGTTTCACGTCATTATCATATAATTTGACCAGGTAGTTACTTTTACTATAATCATTGACTCAAATGTTTGAAAAAATATCAGTCAAAACAGTAAAAAATGCTACATAGCTTTTGAAGTTTCACTCAAAATTCATTTCAAAATTTTACAATGAAGTTTTAAAATTAACTAGAGGATGCTTTTGTAAAAAAGCGCATGTCTCCCCCACTGCTGAGAATAACTGTGAATGGAAACAGGACCCCAAAAACAATAGGGATCATCAGCTCTATAAGACCAATCATCCTATGAAGTTTGAGGGCTGTAGGTCAAAAGGAACTCTAGTTATCATCCGGAAACGAGAAATTGACCAACGGTCACTGTGACCTTGACCTTTGAACTACTGACCCCAAAAACAATAGGGATCATCTGCTCAATAAGACCATTCATCCTATGAAGTTTGAGAGCTGTAGGTCAAAAGGAACTCTAGTTATCGTCCGGAAACGAAGAATGGACGGACGGACTGACGGACGGACAGGGCAAAAACAATATGTCTCCCCCCAGTTTGAGGGTTGTAGGTCAAAAGGAACTCTAGTTATCATCCGGAAATGAGAAATTGACCAACGGTCGACCAACGGTCACTGTGACCTTGACCTTTGACCTACTGACCCCAAAAACAATAGGGATCATCTGCTCTATAAGACCAATCATCCTATGAAGTTTGAGGGCTGTAGGTCAAAAGGAACTCTAGTTATCATCCGGAAACGAGAAATTGACCAAAGGTCACTGTGACCTTGACCTTTGAACTACTGACCCCAAAAACAATAGGGATCATCTGCTCAATAAGACCAATCATCCTATGAAGTTTGAGGTCTGTAGGTCTAAAGGAACTCTAGTTATCATCCGGAAACGAGAAATTGACCAACGGTCAGTGTGACCTTGACCTTTGACCTACTGACCCCAAAAACAATAGGGATCATCAGCTCTATAAGACCAATCATCCTATGAAGTTTGAGGGCTGTAGGTCAAAAGGAACTCTAGTTATCATCCGGAAACGAGAAATTGACCAACGGTCACTGTGACCTTGACCTTTGAACTACTGACCCCAAAAACAATAGGGATCATCTGCTCAATAAGACCATTCATCCTATGAAGTTTGAGAGCTGTAGGTCAAAAGGAACTCTAGTTATCGTCCGGAAACGAAGAATGGACGGACGGACGGACTGACGGACGGACAGGGCAAAAACAATATGTCTCCCCCCGAGGTGGGGGAGACATAATTAATTCTGGTAGTTTTTTTTACCGATTCTGATGTTTTGTTTTAATATATCCAAATCAAACATCATTAATCACATTCACAAAGCTGTGACTTACTAAATGTCACTTATTTAAGTCTTTGTCAAACCATTTTATACATAAAAGTGTATATAAATATATACTGGTATTCAAACTTTTCTGTAATTTCTATTCATATTATTTTCAATCATTTACCAGTTCTCTAGCTTCAGATAAGAATTTCTGCAGTTCGTATGAGTCGGCAAGTTTTTTCTTTCTCTGATCGGCAAGTTCTTCTAGTTTCTCCCAGTTGTCGAGGGCCTCGTTCTGCTTGTCTGAGATATCACCAGCACGATCTGGGTACTTCTTACATAACTTGGCTGATAATGATTCAATTTTCTGTAAAATTAACAAAATTATTAATATTTTAAACTTTCTCTCTTTAGGGGTATTAAATTTCAATAACATTCATAATTCATCAAAATCATCAATATTTACAATACTTTAGATAGATGATAAATGTCTTAGCAAACACAAGAAAATTTGCAAACATTAATCATTAAGTATTCAGTGATTGTATATAAAGATTACCTCAAGCTGGTTCTGAAGAGCTGTCATATCTCTTTCAGTCTCCTCTTGTTTACGTTGTAACGACTGAACAGCCTCGAGATCTTTACCGAGGTCCTCCGATGACAGAAGTACCGTCTTTTCATTGATACGATCATCTATATCGTCAACATCTCTATTGAATGAGTGTACCTCTAGGGCAGCTGCCAAGTTCTGCTTGTAACCCTGTAATGCCCCTTGTAGATCCTTCCATCTAAACAGGGGAGATAAATATTATCATTAAACAGGGGAGATAAATATTATCATTATATTATTATAATTCATTTTGAAGTAAATTTGCATATTTCTGTTCATATAATCATTTGATAACCCTACTATCAGAGGAAAATATTCATAACAATGCTTCAGTGAAATCTTTTTTTCAATCTTAAACAGACTCTATGACAAGTCTGGTACAATACACTACAAAATAAGTAGTATGTGATATTTACAAGCAATTTTGACATCATCTGATGGGATGATGTAATGCCAATATCAACCCCACTGAACACAGCTTAATATATTCATTAGAAAGCAATTTTAATCCTAAAAACATGTTTTACCTCAATTTGTTTTGTCGTTTGACATAATATAAAATTTACATTTTTACTTTTCTCCGACTACATACTTGATTATATAAAGCCTTATATAATACCTACAATAAACAACTCATAGTCTTCAGTTATTACTTATATTTACTTACTTCTGATTCATACTATTGGATTTATCTTTGACTGCACTTGTGTCCGTTCGTCCCTGATGGATCAGCTTGTCAGCTAATGCATTGATACTGTTTATTCTCTTCTCATCTACAGTTATACCCTGATATCATACAAACAATCCAATTATAGGTAGGCCAGTTTGGCGAATGAATGGTATACAACATATTTTAAGGATTACGATCCCTAATGAATTGCTAAAATTAATGTCAACTAATTTCCACTGATATAGTAATAAAACTTGAAGTCTTTGCAACATTCTTCCTTATAGTACCTATTTTTAGCACATTTTTGTCATTGGACACAGTTTTCACCAATGAAACATCAATAATACGATCATTATTTTAACAACATCTGTCTCTTTACTTGTTATTGTAACTATACTGTGTCATTATATCATAGGGACACTTTTAAGGTTATAATTAAAGCATGCTTAAAAAAAAAAAGAGTACAGATGACACTGCATGCATTATACATGTAGCTATATTAAGTTTTCTCACATATGATATTTCAATATCCAGTTTTCAATTTAAATGAAACAATGGTCAAAGAAATTGTTAAACTGCCATATGAGCAAAGGATTTTGTTAATTGCATATTTTATGGTACAAGCATGAAACGTCAATATTGTTATTTTCGCTTTGTCATTTTAAGCTGCAAAGAACTGTTAAAATATATACTTAAGTAAAACTTTCAATATATAGTCCTGACTACAAAATGCAATTACAATTCATTCACAATTCTTAATAAAATAATTGAACATTTTCAAAATCAGAAATACACCTGTATAACTGACTGAAAACTTATATTTTAAATCCTAATTTGATAACTGGTTGATAATAAAATTAAACAAAAAAACTTCAGCTTGGCTAATTTTAATTGGTTTGCTTTTTAATGTCACACCAAATTTGACAACTTCAAGCTTTATTTGTACACGAAAGCCTTGGACTTCACAGCCCATTTTGTACCTTTTTAAGACAATGACACCCCTTTGTGTACTTTATTTTCAGATATTGGCCAGTACCTAGAACTACTTTCAAACTGTTACTGTATCTATGTCACAAAGTGATCTATTCTGTATCATATACATATTACTTTATCATGCAAAATAATCCCAGGGGGAAAAAGCATTAAAATGTTCATTTAAAATGGCATGATACCGATATACCTTCACTTTTTATACCTACCATGTGCTGCATGTCAAGAATAAATATATACAAAAATAATTTTTATGTTATTGTAATGCTGTAATGCTAATTATTTATACTATTATTAGACATTTTCCATTCTTACAGAAATAAAGATATGCAAATTAACATATCAAATAAATCATCTGCTCTTTAAAATTATCAAGATGATGAATTAATCCATCATGAATGTCCATACAGAAAATTACCATTCTTATCACAGTTGTCACATCTTATATACTTAAAATTCTAACATTGTCATCAAAATGATGAATCAAAATACATCAAATATGTATTTATTAGTAAGAAACTCTAGAGTTACTATACAAAGACCAGCAGTAATGTTTTATAAGATATTGTAATACTTACAGCCGACTCATGGTCGTTAGCTTTCTTCTGTAGTTCAACACAATGTTCATAATCTCTACCCAGATCTCCTGCATGTATCAATGCCTCCTATAATATATATAACAAAATCAATGTATTTATTTATAACTTAAACATATTCAACCAGTTAATTAAAATATGTTTTATTTTTGCAGAATTGTGAAAAAAGCAGAAGTTTATATGAACTAATCTTGAACCTTTAGTCTATTTCAAGTACTTATACATTTGGTGAGACCATTGTAGGGTTTGAACCCAACATCCCTGGCTTGAGAGGCAGATACTTTCACCATTATGATACCACTACCATATCTTGATTATGATTCCGGTAGAGCTTAAATCCATTATATCAGGGTTTTGAATCATTCAGCCAACTGTTTCAGTATCAATCATTTAAGAGTCGCTGACATTTAAGATGTAGACTTAGCAGAGTATCATGCCTAAATTTAAAAGCCAAGATTTATGTAAAGTTTTTATAAGTTTAAAACACAAAAAAATTATATTTAATCTAAAAACAAAAGAACACACAGACTGAAGATAATCAACTGACCTTTTCTCTGATCCAATCTTGTACCTTGTCCACCTGTTCGTTGAACTCTAGAATGTCCTTGACCTCTCCAAGACCTTTGCCTCTATTTTCAGATGCTTTAAGCAGATCATTCCATTTCGACATGAGTCGGGTCACAGTCTGGCGGATATCATCAGACGCTATGTGACGCTTCTGAACCAGATTCTCTCCAAGCTGTCAAATAGTAAAACATCACATTCAACAACATTTCAATCTTCAATATGATCATTATCTCCATACTTAACCTATAAGCATGTCAAGCTCCGACCTAATATAGGTATAAGTCAAGCTCAGATCTAATATAAATATATAAGTATTCCCATAAAAAATCTCTATGTTCTGCAAGACAAGAGCTAAATGCAAAAGATGAATATTTTATATGCAAACTAAAAATCTGTGCTTCAAGCAATTTTACAGAATAACATAATAATATAACACATTAATATACGAATAATTACAAAAATGTTTGGTTTTTTTTTCGGTTTTTTTCCCCATAAACTATTCAGGTTTAATGGTGAGATGACCTTGGGTACTAAATAACAGTCATGGAATCATGGACCCTTCAAAGAGCAAATTAACCAACGTTAAAAATTTTGTAAGACATAAATATCATTGGTAGAACTTTAACCAACAGTTGAGAGAAGAAAAAGATAAGCATTATTAGGCACAATGATACCCAGTTATGGAAAGATTAAAAAGATAACTGTGAATAATGGAGTTTGCGAAGTAATTGATAGTGGTAGGGACAAGGCAATATCTTACTAAAAAGGATATGATTGTGATACTAGATGATGTTTAAGTAATAATAATTCCTATTTTAATCAATTAAAAAATGTGACTTCTAATCAACTAAAATCATCTTGACAATTTATTTCTCTCTCAACCCTGTATATTATCAATTCATCATTACACAATATGTAAATTCTGAAAGGGGAGGGGGTATTTTACAAATTAGTAATAAAATTATGCAGAAGTTTCAGAATTAAAGAGATGGCCTAATAGCAATAGCTCATTCTCCCTAGCAACCACTACAAAATTAATGACACAATTAGCCATTCAAGTTGGCCAAAAAACATTGCATTGTTTATCCATATATTTATACTTACCAAGTTATTAATTAGGCCAATAAATAAAGCCTTTATGATGTAATTAGTTTCCTATGTTACCATTATAAAAGCAGACCAGTCCCAGTTTCATTGCAATTTAAAAGCATGCATTTTCAAAACAACACCTTTTTTTCATAGAGAGAAATAATATGTAAAATAAATATCACAATATTATTTGATGAAATATACATGTATGTAGGTCTATTTCTGATATGGAATGCGTGAGTTTTACTAGGTGCAATTCAACACTGAAAAACAAAAGCAAAAGTATTTGCCTACTGCATGTTTATCTTCGATCCTTGCATAAATTAATGAAATTGCATCTTTACAGGACACTATTTACATTGTTCCATTTCATGAATTCATAAAACAATTACATCATTACATAAAACAATTACATTGCATCATAACAGGTAAATATATCACTATAAATATTATTACATGAAACTAATAATACGATGTTAAACATGAAACACAATTAAATCCTTGCTAGGGACTTTTAGACAGAGAGGAAATTCTACGGGAATTGGTGATGATATTTCACTGAATATTAATAAGATAATTTGTGTTTTAACAATTTGAGCTTTATCAGATATAGCAGGTTAAAGGTTTAGAATAGGTAATGGTTTATTTATATAGGAGAGTAGTACATGCTATTAAAATGTTGCCAACATCCAAGACTTGCATAAACCATTACAACTACATTATCTACATCAACAGTCCAATAACTTACAGGCTGTTTAAGTGATCTTAGCTTGTCACCCATCTGATACACAAACATAAAATATCAATTATTCATTTTGTAGCTTTCATTCTTAATTTGATTCATTATTATATATTGTATATTTTTGATATAGGACAATAAGTCCAACATATATTTAACAGGCATGAGTCAACTTTCCAGTCAAGAGACAACTTTCAGTTATGAGGCAACTTTCCAGGCATGAGGCAAATTTCCAGTCATGAGCCAAATTTCCAGTCATAAGGCAAATTTCCAGCCATGAGGAAACTTTCCAGTCAAGAGACAACTTTCAGTCACGAGGCAAATTTCCAGCCATGAGGCAACTTTCCAGTCAAGAGACAACTTTCCAGTCATAAGGCAACTTTCCATTTACTACTGGTAGACTAATATCCCCTTTTCTCATACACAGCAACTGTGTAGAATCACTGATCTTCCCCATTCTTCACATAAATTTTCTACGATCTTTCTTGTTTAAATGTCTAATCTAATACATAATGTAAGTTTTATAATTTCAATATTATTTGCCTTTTTTTCACAACAAATTTACTTCCACCTTGCCCTATTCTATGCTATTCATTTACAAAAGTGGACAACAAATTTGTATACATGAATAAAACACTAACCAGAACAGGAATATGAATATGCCACCAGAACATAAAGACCATCAAAATGAATAGATTCCATGAAGTTTCAATCATAAAATCCCTTTAACTTGAAAAGAAATATTAAGTTTTGCCCTCATTCCTTATTATGGATAACTGAATCAAAATGTCACTGGCATAATTTTAATTTTAAGAAAATAGCATCAGACATACCTGTTTAATTTTGTCAATGCGGTCTGTATTGGCAACAATTTCTGCCTCGAAAGCCTGATGTTTCTGTAATTTCCTCATTTTACCCTGTAAGTCGGAGACTTCTTTAAAGTTATCTTCATTTGCTACCTTCAATTTATCATCTATCCAACCTTCCGCCTGAAAATCAAGATAAACAAATTCTAAACTAGATAAATAACACAACATCATATATTCAGTCATTCCATGCCTGAGTTAAGTTCAATAAATATATCCTGAAAGTTTTTTTTTTAATTTTTTTTTTGCGAGCATAGTCCATAAATTTGTTGGAAAAGTGTGCAAATTGTCAATGACATTCAGTGTGAGTTTGTTTCATCAAAATATTACAAACTTCACAATTCTGACCGATTTTCTCTGCTATTGTGTAAGCAGACTTTGTTTAAATAGCTTATTTTTCAACAGAAAATGTCCCTTGAGTTTTCAGCAGGCAACTTTAAAAGTTATCAATTCTGTTTCAACTGTGTTTTAAGCTGTAGCTGTTAAAATGTCCTGCTTATGCATGGCCACATAACAGGTGCTCTCTAAATCTTTCAATTAATGGAAATGAACTGCACAGAATTGCAAGAGGAAGATGAAATCTACTGTAAACCTGACTTTTGGCCAAGTCCGAGCACATAACAGGTGCTCTCTCCCTTAATGGAAATGAATTGCACATATTTGCAAGTGTAAGATAAAATCTACCATTGGCCATGTCTGAACAGGGTCTGGATTTCAGAGTTATATCGTATATTGTACAACTCTGCCATATTAATAACTGCTGCATCATAATAAGTTCCTTACCTCCATGACATCTCTACAAAACTGTGCATATAAAAGTGAATCTGCCAAGTTTCGTTTCCTTTGACCGCTGAGGTCACGTACTTGACCTTGCCTAAATTACAACAATGAAAATTCTTTATTAAAATGGCAAGAAAATTTGACACATAAAAGTAAAGAAAGAATTTATATAAGAATCTGTTGCTACTTATAAGGTTACAAAATGTACTGATGTAATCATTAAATCTGAGGGGCATATCAATATTTCAATGAATTGTCTGATCTTAAGAAACTATTACATGTATTATCTACACCACTTATACTATCTTCAAGATTTTAACCCTTACCACACTAAATATCATAAACGGACTTGTCCATATTTCAATCTGGACAAAACCATTATCATTTTAGGGAAAATTTTTAATATGTATTGATTGAAAAGTAAACAGTGCAGACCATGATCAAATGGCACATATGTGACTACTGACCTTGGTCTGCACTGGTAGCATGGGTAGATTCAGTTGTAGCTATCAGGCTTACAGTTAAGCACATACAAATGAATTATCTGCTTTATTTATATACTTGTATATTTAGTTGAAAGTAGTAGATTACCTTGACACAATGCTTTCAAGAGTTTGTTCCACCTTTGGAGCCTCGAAATGTTTGGCTGCCATCAGCTGTGTTCCATGTTCTTTTATAGCCTCCAGCTGAAATGTACATAACACAACAGTAATATTACTTCTTTTATATTTCATTATACTGATTTTTCTCTTCTCTGTTTTATTAGATTTCTGTTCTATCACATGACTTGAAGATCATAATTCTTGCAACAATCTAGCTTTAGCTGGCACTGGAAGACTCTTAAGTTAACCCTACATGCATTATTGCAGGCTAAAAGTTTGCACTGGTACCAATCTGCCTATTTTCAAGCTGACTGCTCACAAATTAATAAACATCTCAGAATCTATATGCTATATAACTTGAATTTACTTTATCAAATTTTCACGAATTTGACAAGAATATTCAAATAATCAATTGAATTATGCCATTTAAAACAAAGAGCTTTAATACAATCAATCAAGGGCCTTTAAATTTAAAGAAAAAAAGATTGCATTTGTATGCTACACTGTTATATTGTAAAATTTTACCTTCTCTTCTTGATGTGTCAGCTTATTTTCAAAAGCTTCATGTTTTCTGATGAGTATGTCTACTTGATCTTCAGCTGTCCCGAAATCTGTGCTGCTCAAATATGCCTGTAATATAGAATACTGCTTTACAACATGTGATTCAAAAATATTGTGATTTTTATATATAGTAAATTTCTGAAAGGAATTCTTGTACAGTAATAATAACAAACATGTCTTACAATTTATACTTCAATTTAAAGTTTATAATATATGAATAGAGGAGATATCATTTTACAGACTAAGCCACTCGAGCAAGAATTTACTGACCCTGATGCGAGGAATTTTAAGAAATTTTACCACTCAGCTATGGAGGCCCCTTTGCAGCCATTTATAACAAACTTATACGACTACAAGACTAACCTCCTGAGAAGAGCAAGTATTATCAAGCTGTTGAGCATCTCTCAAGAAGATATGGAAGTCATATAGTTGATCATGGTAATCTTTCGTGTTAGCCCAGGTCTTGTTTAACTTCTCCTGTGCTTCTTTAACCTGTGCTACCTTCTCCTGAATCTGGGAAACAAACAATAATAATTACTATCAACTTGAATTACGTTATGAAAAAAGAAATAAAGACTATTTCATCTTACAAAATATCACTATATTGCAAATTTGTGTAAGTTCTTTTAATCAAATGGACAATACTTAATACTGAAATATAGTAAACATTTACATCTTTATAAAACAATCAAAATCCGATAAACTTGGTATTGGATTTTATTGTACCACTCAACAAAATTTTAGACAATTATATGTATATGTAGGCAAAAGTAGACATTTGCAGCAATGAGCACAATGGTTAACTTATATACTGTTTTACTAAAATAACACAGAAGAAAAATAGACTTATTTATTAATTACATACTGAATTGCACATAATGCATTTATCGACCAAAATACTATGAAATGAAATTTAATATTATATATATGTACCTCTTCCTTGGCATAGTGATCATTTTCCACCATGTCCTCGCCTGTTCTAATGACAGTGTTGAATGTATCCTGCCTAGTTTCTATCTCTGCACGGAGCTCTTCGTGCCTGGTTCGTACAAGATCCACGCTGTTTACATCACGTACAGGCTTATCAGCTGTCATTTCTCTCTCTATCTCATTCGACCAACTGATCAGATCACGTACATCTGAATTAAACCTGGAAGGGAGAAAAAAAAAGATAATCATATAAATGCTTATTCCTTTAGTCGCTGCAATAATGCTTATGCCATAACATGGGTCCTTGACATCAGTCAAGGACTAAATCAGCCGCTATATTTGTGCAGTCTGACCCGACTTTATGGTGCTGGCTGCTCTATTCATTGAATTTTAAGGAACTTTCAGTATCAATTTAAACTCAAAGAAGACAAGAACCGGTTGAACCAGGTGATGCTCCCCGAGAAGGTTCTGGACACAGGAAAGTATAAAAAAAATGAACAAAGGGCAAAAAGTCCAAAATTAGGCAAGGCGGAGTTATGTTTTTTTGCACTGCAATTCTATTCAATGAGATCTATCTATCTATAAAGTTTCCTGATGATACCAGAGTTATGTCCCGGGTAAAATTCAAAGTGTAAAAATGAACAAAGGGCAATAACTCCAAAATAAGACCAGGCTTTGTATAGGTTCTTTAAGCATTGCAGTTCTATCCAATTATATTTAGCTACCTATAAAGTTTCATGCTGATATCTCTAATAGTTTTAAAGTTATGTCCCGGACAAAAGTCAAAAAGTAAAAATAAACAAAGGGCAATAACTTCAAAATAAGGTAAGGCAGAGTAATGGTTCTTAAGCACTGCACTTCTACCCAATGAGACCTATCTATCTACAAAGTTTCATGTTGATATCTCTTATAATTTTAGAGTAATGTCCCGGACAAAGTTCAAAGTGTCACAATGAACAAAGGGCAATAACTCCAAAAGTAGGCAAGACAGTGTTACAGTTCTTGTGCACTGCAAACCTACTTAATGAGATCTATCTACCTACAAAGTTTCATGTTGATACCTCTTATAGTTTAAGAGTTATGTCCTGGACAAAGTTCAAAGTGTGAAAATAAACAAGAGGGCCATGATGGCCCTAGATCGCTCACCTGACTTATCAAACTCATCCAAACAATTACCTAGACAAGCATTCTGACCAAGTCTCATGACAGGTGAGTCAAAAATGTGACCACTACAGTGTTAACAAGGATTATCCATATTTGAGCAGTGCGACCTAGTTTTTTACCAAGGTGACACATATTCAAACTTGACCTAGAAATCATCAAAACAAACTTTCAGACCAATTTCCAGGATACTTGGATCAAAACAGTAGCAACTAGAGTGTTAACAAGATTTCTCTATTTTTTGCTCCTGTGACCTAGTTTCACATGCGATTTCGAACTCATCCAAGCAATTACCTAGACAAGCATCCTGACCAAGTTTGATGATAATTGAGTCGAAAATGTGACCACTAGAATGTTAACAAGGTTTTTCCATATTTGGGCGGTGTGACCTAGTTTTTCATCCAAGATGACCCATGTTCGATCTTGACTTAGAAATCATCAAAACAAACTTTCAGACCAATTAACAGAATATTTGGATCACAACAGTAGCCACTAGACTGTTAACATGATTTTTCTATTTTTAGCTCCTGTGACCTAGTTTTTCATCCGAGATGACCCATGTTCGATTTATTCCCAGCAATGACATAGACAAGTTTCCTGACCAAGTTTGATGACAATTGAGTCAAAATTGTGACCACTAGAGTGTTAACAAGGTTTTTCTATTTTTAGCTCCTGTGACCTAGTTTTTCATCCGAGATGACCCATGTTCGAACTCATCCGAGCTATCATCTAGACAAGCATCTTGACCAAGTTTGATGATGATTGATGCAAAAATGTGACCGCTAGAGTGTTAAGGTTTTTCTATTTTTAGCTCTGGTGACCTACTTTTTCATCCGAGATGACCCATGTTCGAACTCATCCGAGCTATCACCTAGACAAGCATCTTGACCAAGTTTGATGATGATTGATGCAAAAATGTGACCGCTAGAGTGTTAACAAGGTTTTTCTATTTTTAGCTCCAGTGACCTACTTTTTCATCCGAGATGACCCATGTTTGAACTCATCCAAGCTATCAACTAGATAAGCATCCTGACCAAGTTTGATGATGATTGATGCAAAAATGTGACCGCTAGAGTGTTAACAAGGTTTTTCTATTTTTAGCTCCGGTGACCTAGTTTTTCATCCGAGATGACCCATGTTCAAACTCATCCGAGCTATCAACTAGATAAGCATCCTGACCAAGTTTGATGATGATTGATGCAAAAATGTGACCGCTAGAGTGTTAACAAGGTTTTTCTATTTTTAGCTCCGGTGACCTACTTTTTCATCCGAGATGACCCATGTTCGAACTCATCTGAGCTATCACCTAGACAAACATCCTGACCAAGTTTGATGATGATTGAGGCAAAAATGTGACCTCTAGAGTGTTAACAAGGTTTTTCTATTTTTAGCTCTTGTGACCTAGTTTCTTATCCGAGATGACCCATGTTCGAACTCATCCGAGCTATCAACTAGATAAGCATCCTGACCAAGTTTGATGATGATTGAGGCAAAAATGTGAACGGACGGATGACGGACGGACGACGAACGACGGACAATCATCGATCCTAAAAGCTCACCCTGAGCATGCTCAGGTGAGCTAAAAAGGGGGATAATTCAAAAATTAGGCAAGGCAGAGTTACGGTTCTTGTGCACTGCACACCTACTCAATGAGATCTATCTACCTACAAAGTTTCATGTTGATACCTCTTATACTTTTAGAGTTATGTCCCGGACAAAGTTCAAAGTGTAAAATAAACAAAGGGGAATAATTCAAAAATTAGGTAAGGCAGAGTTCTGGTTCTTGTGCGCTGCACACCTACTCAATGAGATCTATCTACCGACAAAGTTTCATGTTGATACCTCTTATACTTTGAGAGTTATGTCCTGGACAAAGTTCAAAGTGTAAAAATAAACAAAGGGGAATAATTCAAAAATAAGGCAAGGCAGAGTTACGGTTCTTGTGCACTGCACACCTACTCAATGAGATCTATCTACCTACAAAGTTTCATGTTGATACCTCTTGTTGTTTCAAAGTTATGTCCCGGACAAGAAAAGGGGACGGACGGAAGGACGGAAAGACGGACGGACAAGGCGGCGACTATATGCTCCCCCGAAATTTTTCGGGGAGCATAAAAAATGATTCCATTGTATTTATTCAACACAATAGATAATGAAATCATTCATCCAACTACAAAATATCTATACAATGATAGTGTATGTTATTCTATGAATTCATACTTATCACTCATTCAAATTGCTTTCTATTGGAGACTAAGTGACAGAAATAAAACAAGCAACATTCTGAAGGGCCATTGGCCATTCACCTAGGTTCCTATTTTAAGTAAATTTGTTGAAAAAGATCTTTAAAAGTGATCACAGGAAACAGTTTTTATGTACAGACAGACGGACTGAAGGACACTCTAAAGTTATTTTTTAAACATCCCTGTTATCAAAATATAACATTTTTAAAATCCTATCATGATTGAAGAAGTTGGAGTAAAAATTACCAATTTCTCAAAAAAAAATCTAAGTTCAAAAGGGGCATAATTCTGGAAATAGTCTTGCTAGAGTATTGAACACTCACAAATGTTGAGTGATAATAACAAACATTTATATGAAGTTTGAAGTAGATACATTCAGAAAAAGAAGTTATTAAAAAAACAATGTTTTTTTTCATGAAAATTTTAAGTTCAAGGGAGGTAATTCTGATAAATTTTGTGCTAGAGTTGTAAACCTTGTCACATATGATGCGGTTGATGACAAGCAATTTATATTTAAAGTTTGAAGAAAATACCTTTAGAAATAAAGAACTTATAGTGAAACAAGATTGCATTTGAGAAAAATGCTATGCCACCGCATTAATACAATACTATATAGTAGTGTAGGAACAGATTTTTTTTTTGTTTCTATACAATTTTGAAGATTGCCATAATGCATAGATCCCTGACCTTATAAATAATCTAATTCTTATTATCAGATTAGTGGTTAAATCTGTTGTTAATTTAAAAAGGATCAGAGTAGGAATATATCAATGCACGCGAGTCTAGTGAATTTGGTGGTGAAGGTCATATTTCACACATCCTAAATTTCATGACTACATCAAAGGACAATACAGTAAGACACTTTGTCAAAATCTAGGTCAGCTGAAATCAAAGTTCACTTTACATCTTAATCTCACAGTGCACAATTTTGGTTCAAATTTCATAGCTGTACATCAAAGGACAAGAAAGTAGGTCACATCATCAAAATCTAGGTCACCTGATATCAAAGTTCAATTTTACAACTAAAACTGTGCACATGGTCAAAATTTCATTGCTGTACATCAAAGGACAAGAAAAGAGGTCACTGTCCCCTTGGGCAAGGCCAAATTTTGGACCCAAGGGTTTAATTCAAAACAATCTTGATACAGGTCCACCAAACAACATTTCAAGTCAAATATCTAAGCTGTAGCTTTCTCCCATTCAGAAAACATTTGTTTTATTTTCTGCTTTTACTATGTGTACATAATGAGAATCACTGCCCCCGGGCAGGGCCAATTTTGACACCAGGGGAAAAATTTGAACACCTTTGGTAGAGGACCTATAGATGATATTATATAGCAAACATCAAAGCTCTATGTCTTGTACCTTCAGACAAAAATATTTTTTGTTTTTTTACTATATGTACATAATGAAAATCAATGACCGCCGGGGCGGAACCAATTTTCACCCCATGGCTATAATTTGAACAATCTTGGTAAAGGTTCACTTCGCAAAGTCTCATGCCATATATTTAACCTCTAGCCTATGTCAATTCAAAGAAGATTTTTCAATTCAGAGAAGAAAATTTTTCAAGTTTTTATTTTATACATATAAGGAAAACTATCGCCTCTGGAGCAGGGCAATTTTAACACTAGGGGCATAATTAGAACAACTTTTGTAGAGGACCCATAGATGATATTATATACCAAATATCAAAGCTCTAAGCCTTGTACCTTTAGACAAGAAGATTTTAGAATTTTTTACTATATGTACATAGTGAAAATCAATGACCCCTGGGGATGGGGCCAATTTTGACCCCAGGGCTATAATTTGTAAAATCTTGCTAGAGGTTCACTACACAATGTTTCATGCAAAATATCTTAACTAGATAGCATTTGTAAATGAAGAGAAGATGATTTTTTAAGTTATTACTATATACATATAAGGAAAACCTATGGCCCCCTGGGCGGGGCTAATTTTGACACTAGAGACAAAATTTGAACAACTTTGGTAGAGTACCTATAGATGATATCATTTAACAAATATTATAGCTCTAAGCCTTGAAACTTCAGATAATAAGATTTTTTGATTTTTTTACTATTATGTATATATTGAAAATCAATGACCTCCGTGGCGCGGGCAATTTTGACCCCAGGGCTATAATTTGAACAATCTTGCAAGAAGTTCACTTCTCAATGTTTCATGCAAAATATCTCACCTTTAGCATTTGTCAATTGCTATAAGAATTGTTTTTAAAGTTTTAAAATATTAAGTTTTTACTATATACATATAAGGAAAACCAATGACCCCCGGGGCGGGGCAGATTTTGACCCCAGGGCTATAATTTGAACAATCTGGGTAGAGGTCTACCAGACAATGCCTTATGCAAAATATCTAAGCTCTAGGCCTTTTGGGTCTTTACAAGAAGGTATTTTAAGTTTTTACTATATGTACATATAGTGAAAATCAATGACCCCCGGCGCAGGCCGATTTTGACCCCAGGGCTATAATTTGAACAATCTTGGTAAGGGTCTACCAGACAATGCCTTATGCAAGATATCTAAGCTCTAGGCCTTTTGGGTCTTTACAAGAAGGTATTTTGAGTTTTTACTATATGTACATATAGTGAAAATCAATGACCCCTGGGGCGGGGCCGATTTTGACCCCAGGGCTATAATTTGAACAATCTTGGTAGAGGTCTACCAGACAATGCCTTATGCAAAATATCTAAGCTCTAGGCCTTTTGGGTCTTTACAAGAAGATTTTTTAAATTTATTCTTATAATTCCTTTTGGTTGCCATGGCAACCAGATTTCTGCATGGAATGAAATTCTTTGAACAACTTTGAAAGTCCTTCACCCAAGGATCAATCCTGCCAAGTTTAGTTGAAATTGGACAAGTGGTTTTTCACAAGAAGATTTTTGAAGTTCACTATATAATCTATATAACACACACACACACAAACAAACACACACACAGGTGAATCGCTATATGCCACCGCATCGCAGATGCTGCGGTGGCATAAAAACTTAAAAACTAGAATCAGAAATCTTAAAATTCAGTCTATTTGTTGCCATAGCAACCAGAATTTTCAACATAGGAAGATAAGAAAAGAATGTGCATAATTTCTATACTGTCATCTACCCATATGTCAAGTTTCATAGACATATTTTCAGTACTTTTTGTGTTATCACTGGATCCAGGTTATGTGTAAAATTTGCCATATTTTCAGTCTATTTGTTGCCATAGCAACCAGAATTTTCAACATAGGAAGGAAAGAAAAAGACGTGCATAATCTCCATACTGCCATCTATCCATATGTCAAGTTTCATAAAAATATTTTCAGTACTTTTTGCGTTATCGCAGGATCCAGGTTATGTGTAAAATTTGCCATATTTTCAGTCTATTTGTTGCCATAGCAACCAGAATTTTCAACATAGGAAGAAAAGAAAAAGACGTGCATAATCTCCATACTGCCATCTATCCATATATCAAGTTTCATTAAAATATTTTCAGTACTTTTTGCGTTATCGCGGGATCCAGTTTTGTGGACGGACGGACTGACGGACGGACAGACGGACGGACTGACGGACGGACGGACGGACGGACAGACGGACGGAGGGTAAACCTAAAGTCCCCTCCGGTAAACCGGTAGGGGACTAATAAGGATACAGGTTAATTAATCAAATGGTTTATTTTGCTACTACAAGTACTTTAACTGTAGTATGTATACAAATTCTTTTGTACTTCTGAGTTTAACCCTGAAATTCAAGTCCATATACCCATTTAAACTTAAAAACAGATTTTTTTCTCTTTTTTTATTCAACATGGTCTTAAGTACTGCTTTTCCTATTAGTGTGACATAATCTTAATGATTTCTCATGAACTCTAATCATTCACCTGTGCAGATCTGCAGCAGCCATTAGCTCATCTTTCCTCTGTGCCGCCCTGTCCTGCAGTATTCCCCAGTTTTCAACAACAGTAGCCTGGAGATGTTCTATCTGGTCGGCATTCTCACCAGGGTATGTCTGCTGTAATCTTGTCGAGTCATCTATCAAAACTTGAATCTGTAACATGGACACAAATTAGTTATTACATCTTAAATATTACACAAGACAAGTTATATTAGAAGTTATTTTTGCTTTTAGGATTACCTTCTATTAAAACATTAACCCAATTCCCTAATGAAATTGACTAAGTGGCATGCCTATAATTCTTCAAATTTTGATCTGTCCACTTAGGTCTAGCATTATACACTGATAACATAATAAACTTCATAAACAGTCAAGCATAAAGTATTTATGACTTTTGCAAATTTATGACATTTCTTTTGTTTAGTTTTCAGAAAAAAATAGATGTCATTAAAGGCACAAATGTCATAGAATTATCAATCCTGCAAAAATATAAAACAAACTCCTTATATAACGACATTTCTATAAAACTGACAAGTTACATGTATGAAACAGTATGCCATAAACAAGATTTACCTGTGCTTCAAGGGCTATCAGTTCATTTTCAAAGCCTTCATGTTTCTTCAGGTAGCTCTGGGTAGCGTTGATATCTCTCCCAAGGTCATCTGGTATACTCTGATACTTCTCCTAGATGACAAAAAAATATTTTACATTAAATTCAGTTCTTTATCATAAAGAACAGAATGATATTTTTCACTGTTTTGAAAGTATAAAACCCATGAAAAAAGTCCTCATACAGTATTGTTACAAATGTTCCTAAATTCTGTACATGTATAAAAAAACCTAAATTTTCTCTTCTTTATTTATCTGCTAATGTCTATACCTTTGTTACTATTTATGAAAATAAATCAAGACTGCTTGTAAAATCAAAGGAACTGAAGTTCATTATAAAGAATGGTTCACTACTCTAAATGTTCAAAAGACCCATCTTTACAAGTCGATTACCTGTATTCTAGTCAAAGCATCTTCAACATCTCTATTAAATCTGTGGATCTCTCCAGCACCAAACAGTTTCTGGTCCCTGGCTTCTATCTGCTCTAGTAACTGGTTCCAGGCATCATTCAGCTGATCTTGACGTTCTAGTACCTGTTTCGTGTACGGCCCTTTGTCTTCTACGAGCCATTTTGCCATTCTTTCACACCGACTAAATCTCTCCTGGTTGGACTCAACGTTTCTCTTAAACTCGTCAAATTTATTACGTAATATACACAAATGTTCATAATCTTGTCCGTACTCCTCTGAAGCAGCAGTCTGCATTTGTTCATTTATCCATTCCTCAAAATCACCACTTTCTCTTAGATAAGCATGCATCCATTTGGATTGCTCGAGATTCTTAGTTCTCTCTGCAGCTAAACGTTTTAATTTGTTCAATTGCTCTTGTAAATTATCCTGGAAATACACATTAAATTTCATGCAAATTATTAGTTATGAACCTTTACTGTTGATACCTGTCATCACATAATGAAAATACAAAACACATGAGTGAAACTTCTAAGTTCACAACTTATGACTTGTACTTGACAAGTTAAATCTTTCAAAACAAAATTATTGTAGATCTTTGATCAATACAAAGATAGTTATAATTTTTAGTTTCTTAAATTTGTTTATTATTTTAAGTCACATCAATACTTTGATTAGGTCGCATGACAATTTTCAAGTTTTACTCATGGAGCAATTTTCAGTTCTACTGATGGAGCAATACCTCATAACCTGAGCAGAATCACCAACCTTGAGTAAACTTGCGAGATAGCTTTCTCACAAGAAAACCATTTAAGACTCTGACAGCAGGTGATTGGCAAGTGATATAAAGTCTTGCTTGTATGTATACATAGATCACATGCACAATTACAAAATGAGTAAATGCTCAAAAACTTGAAATAAATGTACAAACAAGTAAGGCCATGAGTATCATTTACACTTTACTTAAAACAGAGCAGTCAAACTCAATTTGAGGTCAGATGATGCCATAAATGAAATATTGTGAATCAAACAAGCCAAAAACATTCTCATTCTTTAAAAGGAAGTTGCTAAAACAAAATCAGTGCATAATTATAGCACCTACCTGAGCTTTTCTGAGTGATTGTGGATCCTGACAACCGGTTTTAAACAACCTTTTACACTCTCTGTCCACACCAGATACGATACCCTGGTATGTCTGTATGTCTGTCTCTAATACCTTGTTCTTGGCCAACAATTTGTCGGCTGCGTTCTCATCTTTACCATAGTCTGTGCTAGATGCCAGCGATGTTTTGTCATTTATCCAGTTCTCTATTTCATTTACCTCTGATAAATACTAGAAAATAAAATATATCAGTCTAAGATTATGAAAAACTTACTTGACAGTTATTTGATGTATTATATATCACTAACTGACCATTTACCAAAATCATTAATAATATACAGTATGTCCCTCTCTTTGTTATTGTTGATGCTGTTTTTTGTCGTTGATTTTTTTCTTCCAGTATATTACAGCAACTTATGTACATGCATATCAGTAATAAATCTCAAAATACTGTAAAAACATACATGCACATTTTTATAAGCTTTTTCATTTTTTTTTATTTCATGATAGTGGAAAATGTATGGTGGTTAACAGATAGAATCTAAAGATTCCTTGAAATGATATAAAATGATTCCTTGAAATGATATAAAATGAACTATAGATAACTAAGCTAGAAAGTCTAGACCCAAACACTAACATACAAATGTAGGTATACATAAACATTTCAATGAAAAAAGAGTTGTTTTGAACTTACCCTCTGTATCTGTACAGAAAGTTCTAAATTTTTCTTGCGTATTTTTGCTTTGTTGAGTAAATCGTCCCAAGACACCTGTAATTCTTGTAGTTTATCTTTTATTGACTTAGCATTTATATGTCTCTCCTCTATCAACTTGTCACCACGACCTTGAACCTTCTCTACTATTGGTAGATGACCTTGGATCTCAAGGTCAAGTTTCTGAAATAGAAAAATAATTTGAGTATTGAATTTATTTGAGCTGTAAGGTTTAAAATATTTAACATCTTTGATGTATTTTTCCTTTATTTTCTATTTCCATTTTTTCAAATATGAGTACAAAATATGGTCAAGTACAAAATTCTATAATTCAAGCTTTTTCAGCGACATTGAAAGAGAATAAGAAACAAAACCATTATTATCATTGAGGCAGTATCTGAAAAGTTAGGTTCATACCTGTTGTTTTTTCTGCAAGTTTTGAGCATCCGTCAAACTTTTCCCGTACTCTGTGGATGCCGCAGCTGGAATTCTCTCCTTGATCCACTGTAACTCCTCGTCCACATCAAATCTAAACTGATGGAAGTGCAGTGAATCCTGTAGACGTACTTTACGGTTAGCAACTTCAGGTTTCAACTTCTCAAACCTACAATGGAAGGATTTATGTATTTACAATAAGTATGACATAAAACAAATGCTTCAATTGAATTAAAAACTGATTTTGCTGTATTTTAGCATTTAATTTGCCCTGCTTGGATGTGTACTTATCCACCTCAAGTTTGAAAGAGTTTCAAAATGAAAATGCAAATTTTGAGAAAGAGAATAGCAATAGTATATAAAACTTGGTCAGACTGCTCAGATTTGCAAGCTAGTCTGACTCTAGACTAGTGGCAATGGCTATACAGTTTGAGCAAAAACCAGGGTTAAAGACCAAGGTATACAGTACTGAAGAGTAACGCACTGGATGGAATTTATTTAAAAATTAGAAATCAATAAGCAAAGCAGCAGCAGCAGCAGCAAAATGTCATAGACTGTTACACATATACAATTCTTCATAAAAAAACAACAAAACATACAACTTATTTAAATGAAGTTTCCATTTTCTACAAATCTCAATTGGAGAGATGCACTGTATAGTACTAAATCAAGGTTCAAGTTCAAAAGTTCTAAAACAATTATCAATGATTTTTGTAGTCTTTACATAATGTACTTTTTATCTCCTACCCATTTCACTTTATTTTTCTATCAACCAATATACTGAAAATCACCTACATCAGTTATTTTTGCATGACAGGTGCACATTTTCACATGGGTACTCACAAATGCAAGAACAAGACCAAGTCATAAGATACTTCTAAAATTGAAGGTGATTCTACACAATACCTTATACAAAAATATTACCTCTTATGAAACTGGTCAACAGCTTTGAGAATTCCTACTCTATCAAAATGGCCTGCATCTGCAAGAGCTTGTCCTTTGTCCACAATGGTTTTAATTTGATCATCTAATTGTTGGAGGTCATTTTCTAGCCCCTGGTGCTTCTTGAGTAAGTCTTTGACCCCACGTAAATCAGACCCTACATCTGGGTTAGCTACAGATTTCTCCATCTCATCCAGCTTGTTCTACAAAGTCAATCATAACTCATTTTCAGGCTCAATATCTTAAAGTGGACTTGCCATCTTTCAATCAGGACCAAACCATTAATTAATTGTAGGGAAATATTCAAAATAAATACTTGCTGAACAGCCAACATGACCAGTCTGCACAAATATGCCAGCAAGTCTTTATTTGCTCAGTTTGCTAGAAGAATATAATTATTACTCACTTGGCTTTTGTTTAACCCTTTTAACAATTTTGGAACCGTAAGTGATGGGCCTTTGCCACCAGCCCGTCTGTATATCACAGTTTAGTCTGCCCTGGCTCTATTCTAGCAGCTGACTTAATGTAAATTTTTATTTTGATATACCCAAAAATGATAATGGACAGTTCCAAAATGGAATCTGGACAAGTTCATTTAAGAAATTCTGGATTAATTTGAGAACTCATTTTAAACAATAAACATTAGAATTTGAAGCTGAATGCAACTGTCACAGAATACACATTGTATCTTTTCCCATTACAAGTTTTGAGAGAATGCAAGTACCGCACTGGTATTATAAGGAAAGTTAAATGAAGTTGTATAGCTATGATTGGTTTATTCTGTAGAGCCCATCACAATTGTAGGGAATTTTCATGACAAAATTGGTATTTTTTTTTACAGCTTTGGGGAAAAAAAATGTATTTTGGTAAAAAAATGTCAATGGGATTGAAGTGGTATAAATAATTATGCTGAACTTTAAAATAATATTAAATAAAATTTCAGCTTCTTTAAAGATCTGAAGAAGAATTTGTAAAATATGTACTGCAAATATTTGTACATATTATATATACCAGTAATCATTAAAATATATGCAATTAATTTCTTATTGAAAAATTTGACTTAGACTTCATAGATAATAAATTTCTATTTACCTCCTTTTATTAACATGAAATGTAAATTTGATAATATCTTTATAAATAATGCTTTTTGGAACTTACAAAATTGATAAATCTCAATTTGTGCATCATAATTATGATATAAAACCATTAAAAAATTTGTGTTACGAGATCTTTAACTACAAATCACCTTTAGGTTTTATTGTATAGTGATCTGTACATACATTTTTTGTATGTTTATATTGCATAAGGTTATACAGCATGTGTTTCAATATCATGTGTCTGTCAAGTTGTATAATCTAACTTGTTCAGTGAACTTGTACAAACAACACATCATGATCAACACATATAATACATTCTTTCCAATGTCCATCAATACAGACAATTAACAACATTAACTCCCCTACCCACGCGTATTGTACCACTCATATTTTCATTTGATACATGAACTTCCGATACAACAACACCAAATAAATACCCTATCTCTCTTTAACAATAAAATTATCATCAGGACAAATCAAACAAAATCATTGGCATAATGAAACAAATTATAAATTCAATATCATATGCCAGTTGACAATAACAGGTTTATATACAAATTAATAAACACCTTTTAGGTTTTACAAAGACCTCCACAAAAGTATGAACAGCCATAGCTTATTGAGTTGTTCACACATGTGGTCATGATTAAGTAACATGGAGATAGTACTACATGAACTACTATAGTTATTGATGGTTGAAAATTAACCCAACAATGGACACAATATGGCTGCTACCATTTATTATTATGAACAAATCTGTCCAATTATCTAACTGTGAATTAGTGTATTTTGTTGCATTCACAGAAAGTAAATGGCTATATCATAGTAAATTAACAATTATCTTGCTCAATAAGATTTTTTACCAGAGTCCTTTCATTTTTGATGTTGTTTCCTAAACAGAACTCATTTGCTTTTCAGCTAATCAAATCTTTTGCTTTTGAGCCATTAGTAAACATATACATGTAGTGTTATCGATTTTATATTGAAGATACATTTTCTGGCTCCGCCAAGCCCCTTTTCTTTTTTACACCAACTTAAATACTTTTTTTGTGTCATTATCTCAGCCATCGATACACCTATCCAGCTTTCCTTGATAGCAAAATCAGTGATTCTGTGCCTATAGCATTCAAAATGAAGTTGTTTTTTGATATAGTTTACTTTGTAGCATGAGACATCCCCCCAAAAAAACAACAACAAAAACAACAACAAAACAACAACAAAAACACAAGAATTATAAGCAGCTCACCTGGGCATCAGCAAGAGCCTTATTAAGATCATGTTGATCTGCTGCTTGACGTAATTTCTGACCTTTGTCCATAGATTTATCATACAGATCCTTCCACTGTTTGTTCATATCCCTTAATGTTGTCTGTATATCAGAAGTGGCTGGATGCTCATCTTCTATCAAAGCATTCCCTTGCTGAAAAAAAATTTATTTTTTTTACAACAAATAACAATTATCGCACTTTCATATTTATCACTGAATATTTTTGTCTTCTATTTTTTCTCCCTTAAATTAAAGAACTCTATTCAACAATATGATAATGACCTTTGAATAATATAACTTCAGGTCATGCTTGGCCCCTAACTGACTTCACCGGACTATACTGTCTCAAACAACACTCTAATTAAGGTGGCGACAAACTTGCACTTGCACTTTTGCTACTCGAATGACAAAAAAAGTATCTTTTTTAACACATTTACTGGTCAAAGATTCTCAGGTGCCCCACTGCTGACTATTGAGTACAGCCATATCTTCCCTAGGCTACCTGGTTAGCCTCCCCACATGCAAGACTTCAATATCACTGTTAGGAACGATGTACCTACCTCATTAAGTTGATTAAGCCTGGCATTGTTTGCCTTCAGTTCCAGCTCAAATGCTTCGTGTTTCTTCAATTTCTCCTTCAGGTTGGTCAGATCCTTGTATGACTCATCCGTTGCTGTCTTGTGTTTTTCTTTCATCCATTGTGATAACTGAAACAAAACAACAAAATTCCTGTTTTAGAAGTTTAAGGGTTTTTTTTATAAATAAATGTAAAATTGTAATAAATGTTATACTGTATACGTGGATATTTCCTTGTGTTAAAAAGTCAACAAATTGAAAATTCAAGACATGAGGAAATATTAGCTAATCCTGCAAAGGTAGAATTTAATGACAGGTTGGTTGAATGCTAGAGGAAATTTTGGTTATTTTCATGAATTCACCAATATTTCTGCGTCACTTACTTAACCACTTATACAGTAGTACTAATAAAGTTTGACCCTTTATAATGAGATATGTAAGATATTCATAAACTAACCATACAACTTTTATCTTTTACCAGATTAATAAAATGTACCATGTAGATTCATAATTTAAAGTATACCTCTGCGGCGTCACGTTTGAACTCCTGGAATGCCTGAGAGCCAAGTAGAGCATTATGTCTCTCTGCAGCCTGATCTTTGACCTTTTGTCTCCGTGCCAACACCTCATTACGACGTTTATCAATGCTGCAAGATAACAATCAATATAATTAAAATACGCATTCATATAAGAAAAGCAAAACAAATACAAACCCCTTAATGAATTATTTTATCTAAAGGAACAAACAAGACAAAACTCCAAACAAACCTTATTTTTTTTTATTTTTACATATCTTTGATGAATATTTCTGTCATATGTGACTTTCAGTGACCTTGGCCTTGGTATCAAATCCTTAGACAGAAAGGTAAACCAATGTGCATGTTCATACATTGTCCAAATGGCTTCTTTGTATGATAAACATGGACTTTGTTTTTAAAATCAATTTTCAGACAGTAAACAATGACCACTATGCAAGAACAGAGATTCATTATCAAAGTATTCTGATATTAACTTTCTAGGCAACATTTATTTTATTAACACTCATCAAATAATTTTAAAACTTTGATCATAATTTTATCAATAGATATAAACTCATTGTTTCAATGCCACATTTTGTAAGAAAGCAAACTTAATGATGTTATCTATGTGGTTTAAAAATTAGCACATACAAAAGATACACATACATTCATTAATGTAACATCAAAATTTTAGACTTAATGCATGGTATGGATACATATGTTTCATTATGTTAAGAGGAATTATCGAAAAAATTTCAAAGCCATATCTATCTACATAAGGTAAATTATATGTACAAGCCTTTATTTGACTTAAACAGCATAACAGACAAATAAATCAAACAAAATCACTCAGACAGAATCATTTAATGAGATCATAAATAATTGACCCACTTAGTATAAATTGAAAACATGGTTGTTAACATCGCTGCTTATTTGTACAAGACTCATTAAATTACATTAATTTGGAAGAGAATTGATTGAGTTATAAGGTTAAAGTTACAATGTAAAGGGTAAAATTATGGCATCTTGCCAACTTTATTGGTAGAGGAAGACCTCAATTGACTCCTCCATGCATTATTTTTGGTGAGTATAAAACCACAAACTTGTCAAAAACTTACTAGAAAGCTATCTCTCACGAAAAAAATTGTAAGTCTTGTTGTTTGTTTCAAAAGTCACAGTAGTGAGAGGGGGAGGGGGGGGGGGGGGTGATTTAAACCAGTGACCTTAACCACTCAGCCACAGAACACCCCTTACAAAATATTTATTAATGGTATTTCATTGCTAACCAAAATGACTAAGAAATTTGTATATTTTTTATATCTTTTAGTATAAGACATATGTAACAAAATCCTTCAAACACAGGGATACTACAAATTTATTTGAAGGGGAACATTAGGATGGATACTACAGATTTATTTGAAGGGGAACATTAGGATGTATTTGGGAACAATGTGGTAAAACTAAAACTCACTGATCTTTGTCCGGGTGGTCATCAGCGATAAGTTTATCAGCGAGATCATTCAGATTCTTCAGTTTCTCATCCTGAGCCTGCAGTGTACTCTCTAGATCTTCATGTCTCTTATACAATGCTTCCACATCACCAACATCAGCCTGGTAAATATAGCCAGATTATATATAGAGGATATTTGTTTAGTTCAGTGTAAGATCGAAATATATTTCACTGAGTGAGCACCAAAAGGTATATTTCACGAGTGGCGCAGCCACAAGTGAAATATGAACTTTTGGTGTTCACGAGGTGAAATATATTCCGATCTTACACTAAACTAAGCAAATTTTCTTTTTATTATATGCAAAGAAACGTTTAAAAAGACATTTTAACATAGTACTAAATGAAAAGGGCGCCAAATAATAATACAACGTAACGTCATTTACGACGTCACGTCATTAAGTTGGTTTCCAGTACTGTGCACGCTTGTATTTTAATGAAACAACGTACCGGGCGCAAATATTCAAAACAGTGAAATTATCAAATTGATAATTTCACTGTTTAAAACAGTGAATTATCAGTTTTTATTTCACTGATATATTTCTATAAACCACCGAAAAGCATGTAATAAAAAACATTAATCTTGCTAAATTTGAGTAAAATAAGTGTCCTGATTTTAGTTTGGTCTCATTCTCCGAATGTGTAAAACATTCTTAAAAACCAATTAAAATCAAGAGATGAAAACATGGTCGTTAACATCACTGCATATTTGTACAAGACTCATGAAATTACATTTACTAGCATTTATTTGGAAGAGAATCGGCTCTAAATTGATTCTAGAAATTTCAAGATACTGTGACACTGTAAAGGTAAAAATAATGGCAACTTGCCAACTTTATATATATATATATAATTGTTTCACTATCTGTTTAGTAATTTGCATGTTTTCAATGTTATTTAATTTGTTTTTGTTTCTTCCTTATTTTTCATAGTAAAGACTTGGAATGGATCTGACAGCATACTTCTTCAAAGAATTACAAAATAGACAATAGTATTGACATTGTTCTGACTAAATGGATGTGCATTCAAAACTGGCCCTATACTGGTGGCATTTTAGGTGTGTTAATTTTGTTCGTTTGTTGGGTATTATGTAGCAAACCAACACTGTAAAGGTAAAATGGGACTTTCTATTATTATTTGCAGAGGAAGATCTAAGGTGCCCCTTCATGGATTATTTCATGTATGAACTTGAACCCGAGTAGAAGCACCAATCTTCTGTCAGCTAGCTAGGTAGCTTCTTCACATGACAGAATCCAAGTCTGGCGGGACTCAAACCCACAGCAGTAAGGGGCTAGTGATCAGAATACTGTTGGCATAGACAAGTCATTATCCTGACTGGAATTCAGAGTTTATATGACATGTGTATATGTATGCCTAATACAGTGTTATAATCATTATGATGAACAAACCAAAACTTGGTTATAAATTTTGTTCAGAAAATCGACTTACTCCAAGATCTGACCGACTGAGGAACTTCTCGTGGTTACCAGTCACTGAGTCTATCTGGTCTGCTTCTTTGTTAAATAACTGTAAAGATAAATTAAATCATTAGAATAACATAATTCAAAGGTCTATTCCTGTTAGTTCCTCTATGATCAATAAAACAACCAGTCAAAATATCTAATCTAATAAAACAGTCAATACAACAATGACTTGAAATATCTGATAATAAATCGTTTCAAAATTTAACTTTCAAACATTTTATCAAGAAAGTTAAGAGTTGGACATATCACTGCATAGAAGTAAGCACTAACTCATTAAATTCCACATACTTTGATAATGTTTGTTACCATCTGTGTTGATAAAAAGCCCATATTTCTATAAATTGATATGTTTTCTACAAACAGTATTTCATTTTGAGTAAAACTTCATTTCATCTTCATTTAGTCACAATTGCAAACCCATATCATTTAAAAGAAACAAAATTGGGCAAATTGTGCATATTCTGGCATCAGTAAAATTTCATTTCAGCTGTATCATTTCTTGCCTTTAGAAAAGAAAAGAAGTACATAGATATTATCATCTCAGTAGTTAGTGATATAAGTATATGATTTAGAATCATTATAATTCTGCACAAGTGTAGTTAACGAAGCCTATATTACATGTAGATAATCTCACCTGCAAGTCATAAGCATCTTGTAAATCTTTGAGACGTTTCTGATACATATCATCAATAGCATGTTCATCATCTGATAATTTCTTCATCTTATCTTTAACATCAGTAGCACCCGGTGTCTTACCCAGCACGGCTGTCCCCAGTGCTTCAACCTTCTCAAATCTAAAACAAACCACACACAAAATGTTTCTTTTCAGTTGACTTTCATAAAATGTAAATGCCTCAAACCCAAACCTAATAATAAAATGTCATTTTCTTTCTTCAGAGATTTATCACGGTCAAATGTTGGTATGTCCAAAAATAAGTTCTTGTCCAGAATTTTGTTGCCTCCAAGACCCTTATACATATAGAATGATGATAATAATAACATCAAGTTTAAATTCTGTCTACAGAGACCAAAAAAATAGCAACAAACAAACACAAGCAATTCCAACACAAAAAGTATTTATAACGGGCCAATCCATTGATGTATATATAATTATATAGTGGCATCATGAAAACTAATTTCTTCTGGATACTTACACAGGTTTATGAGCATCTATATCTTCTGCTAAGTCTTTATGATCTTTCAGTAAATCCTCTGCAGCCTGTACACTCTGTGGTATTTCTGCATTCTTCAGTTTCGCCTTAGTCTGCCCTGTCCAACTTGACTGAAATACAAAGCAAAAATCCGCATATTAATCTGATGTTTTTATTTCTTTTTTGTTTGTTTGTTTTACATCACACTTACACTGTCAAAGATATAGGGCAGCTTTCAAGCTTTACTTTTTGGAAGAAGACAACTAAAGTGCACCTGAACAGAACCATCGACCCTTCTCTTCTCTTCTTTACAATAGATCAACAAGCTTTCCAAAACCCAATCAGAATAGTGCTTGGCCAAAGAATAACAGAAAGGCACCCCCACACACAAATAAAAGAAAGAATGGATAGATTCAGCTGGTGCAAATATAAATTCTGCAGCAAAACCAAAGGTTAAGGGGCCTCTGTGGCCGAGATGTTAAGGTCGCTCACTTGAGATCACAGGTCCCTCATTGCTGTAGGTTCGATCCTCACACGGGTCGAAATCTTTCATGTGAGGAAGCCATCCAGCTGGCTTATGGAAGGTCGGTGGTTCTACCCAGGTGCCCGCTCGTGCCTGAAATAATGGCCGGAGGGGCACCTGGGGTCTTCCTCCACCAATATAAGCTGGTAAAAAATAGACGAAAGAATCTCGGCGACTTGAGTGTACGGTCGCCCATATGGGCCTTCCAGTGGTGACCTTAAATAAACGCATTTAAAAAAACAAAACAAAGGTTGGGTCTTTCTTCTTACACAGGTGATAAACCAGTCAAACACCTCACATTTTGTTATAATAGAAACAAGAGGGCCATGATGGCCCTGAAGTCGCTCACCTGTATATAGGCCCCTGGAGCGGGGCCAGTTTAAACCCCAGGGCTTTTATTTGAACTAACTTGGTAGACACCCATTAGCCCATTAGAAGATATTTCATGCTTAACATCCAAGGTCTAGCTGGTCAAGTTTTTTTCTTTACACATATAGTTAAAAACAATGACACACCTGGGGCAGGGCCAGTTTTGACCCAAGGGCTTTTATTTGAACAATCTTTGTAGACACTTACTAGAAAATGTTTCATGCTTAATATCTAAACTCTAGCTATTCGGGTTTTTTCAAAGAAGACTTTTAATTTTTTGCTATACACATATAAGGAAAATCAATGTCAGCCGGGGCGGGGCCAATTTTGACCCCAGGGCTTTTATTTGAACAAACTTTGTAGACACTCACTAGAAGATGCTTCGTGCTTAATATCTAAACTCTAGCTATTTGAGTTTTTTCAAAGAAGATTTTTTAAAGTTTTTGTATAACACATATAAGGAAAAGGAATGACCCCCGGGGCGGGGCCAATTTTAATCCGAGGGCTTTAATTTGAACAAACTTGGTAAACAATCACTAGAAGATGTTTCATGCTTAGTATCTAAACTCTAGCTATTTGGTTTTTTTCAAAGAAGATTTTTTAAGTTTTTTCTATACACATATAAGGAAAATCAATGACCCCCGGGACGGGGCCAATTTTGACCCCTGGGCTTTTATTTTAACAAACTTGGTAGACACCCATTAGAACATGTTTCATGCCAAATATCTTAGCTCTAGCTCTTTGGGTTTTTTAGAAGAAGATTTTTTAAGTTTTACTATATGCATATAGGGAAGATTAATGACCCCCTGGGGCGGGGCCAATTTTGACCCCAGGGCTTTTATTTGAACAAACTTGGTAGACATCCATAAGAACATGTTTCATGCTAAATATCTTAGCTCTAGCACTTTGGGTTCTTTAAAAGAAGATTTTTTAAGTTTTTACTATATGCATATAGGGAAAATCAATGACCCCCTGGGGCGGGGCCAATTTTGACCCCAGGGCTTTTATTTGAACAAACTTGGTAGACACCCATAAGAAGATGTTTCATGCTAAATATCTTAGCTCTAGCTCTTTGGATTCTTTAAAAGAAAATTTTTTAAGTTTTTACTATATGCATACAGGGAAAATCAATGACCCCCTGGGGCGGGGCCAATTTTGACCCCAGGGCTTTTATTTGAACAAAATTGGTAGACATCAATTAGAACATGTTTCATGCCAAATATCTAAGCTCTAGCTCTTTGGGTTTTTTAGAAGAAGATTTTTAAAGTTTTTACTATATGCATATAGGGAAAAATTCAATGACCCCCTGGGGCGGGCCAATTTTGACCCCAGGGCTTTTCTTTGAACAAACTTGGTAGACACTCACTAGAAGATGTTTCATGCCAAATATCTAAGCTCTAGCTCTTTGGGTTTTTTAGAAGAAGATATTTAAAGTTTCTTCTTTTGGTTGCCATGGCAACCAGAGTTCTGCATGGAATTAAATTCTTTGAACAATTTTTAAAGGTGACCACCAAAGGAACATTCCTGTGAAGTTTGGATGAAATTGGTTTGGTGGTTTATGAGGAGATGTCATTTAAAGCAAAAGTTTACGGACGGACGGACGCCCGGACGGACGGATGCCGGACGAAAAGCGATCACAAAAGCTCACCCTGTCACTTTGTGACAATTGAGCTAAAAATCACATTTTTAAGAGTTGTTATGTTTTCATAAAGAGAATGGTAATATTAGATGAAAGGCAGAACATATCAGTTTTTTAACCTTTAAAGTTGAAGGCAGCAACTGAACTTACCCATACAATAAGGATTGTTAAATCCTTCTTTGGGAAATCATAATTAAGTATTTAAATAAAAAGGAAAAAAACGTGATTTTTTTTGGATAAAAAACCCCCCCTACTAAAAAAAATAAAAGGGAAATATAATCTGAATTTTTGGGTTTTGGGAAGATCTTTTTTCAATCAACGAAATTTAGGGAAATTTATTCATATTTCCTTTAATACCCCAAAAAATATTTAAATTTAAAAAACGGGCTTTTGGATCTTACTAGACTTATTATTTTAAATAACTTTTTTTAAAATTACCCCTAAACAAGAATGAAAAATCAGATAAATAGAGGAGTGTCAATGCTTTGAAGTCACTGACATATACATGATATAGAAATTTACTTGTAGTAGTTGGTGGTCTGTCAAACTTAAATATCATTCATCAAACTTAGATTTACACTCGACACCAATAATAAGATGATAGACTAGTCAACAGCTTCTTAAATATCATCAAAAAGGTCATTCCCCATATTGAAATATCAATGATAATTATAAGAAGCAAAATCAAACAGGAAACCATATCCTAAAGAGAAAAACACATTTCATTCATGATTTACTCAAACTTGCAATGCCACAGTCCATAGATGCTTGCCAACTCAGCTAAACTCGAATGGCAATATGCTATCTTTAATTCACAAAGATATAAGATAATATAGAAACTATAGTCTACTAAGATATTAGGTTACTATGGTAACATACCAGTTCTTTAGCACTATCATCAAACTGTAATCTCTCTGCCTCCTCCTCTAACTTTCTCTTCCTGTCTGCGGCCTTGTCCTAAAATATATATCATTATCATTATAATAATTAATTCCCAGACATCTCTTGCCATGTACTAAAAAATTACATTATCAATTTTACATTGGACTCCTAGACATCTGCCACCTTGGCCTTAAAAATATACATTATGATTATTAAATGGAATTTCTAGACATATTCCACCTTGTCCTTAACATGTACATCATCATTATTACATTGATATACTAGTATTAAAATATAAGCTGGATTGCTTATAAAATGGCAATCCTAATTTTACATCAAAATCAGCATTTACAGTCTCATATCATATTTAAAATGATTATATATATGATAAAATTAATGTAACACTTACCATAAGATCTTTCCACATTTTGTCCAGCTCTACCTTCCTTTTGTCAACATATCCCGATTCTTCTGGGTAACTTGATTTTACCCTAGAAATAAACATTTCAAGGCATTGGCATAGATGCTTGAATGCTGTAGATATTTTCATTTTTTTTTTTAAATCAAACTTATATTGTTAAACTTATCTGGCAATTATTCAGCTCTACTTATGGTGGCAAATGCTTTTTTCCACCTAGCAAGGACCTTCTGGTAAATTTTAAGTGAGCTGCTTTTTTCCAGCCATCCAGGGGAAGGAGGTTTTTGGTATTTTATCTACAATTGATTAAGAGGCTTTTCAACATATTCTATCCAACATAAGCTTTGGAATGCCTGAAAATTAAATCATGTTTTATTTAAAAAAAACAACTATTAATCTATTATTAGAATTACAAAAACTTACGCTCCAGCTAAGTATTCCATTCTGTTCATTTTTTCTTGGACAGGTACAAGTTCCCGCTCAAGGTTCTAAAAAAAGAAAATGACAAGCAATGAAAATAATCATTTTTAAGATTTAAAAAAGACATACATCAGAACAGAGACACAACAAATATGTTACTGTTTGTCTCTTCAATACGAATTTCAGTAATTCTTGAAAAATGCATGAAATTTTGTTCGCAATCATGGCAGACATTTTCTATTGTTGTACACTAGAATTCATAAATTCAAAGAAAAATATTTAAGACAAAGTATAAATCAAACAAATCTACATACAGCATGTTTCCTTTGGAGTGCTTGGTTAGCTTTCAGATCTTTGCCAAGATCATCAGTGGCACTTAGGACATTGTCCTTTTCTTTAATCCATTCAACTAGCTCATCACATGTAGACTGGAACAACTCTATGCTGTAAAACATACATTAATATCGCATTTTATTTATGTTCAAACAACTTTATGCCACTGGCATAGATCTGGCCATGCAGTCTGACCCGACCAAACTGGCACTGTTAGTATTAGTCTGCTGCCAACAATAGGACGAGAGAAGACCAAGATGAGTTGGCACAATCATACTATCAGATTAGGGTCTGCACTGTTTACTATAAGTCAGAACATAGTTTGAAATTTACCCTGAAAATGATGAATGGTTCTCTCTAGTTTAGAAGATTAAAGATTCCATTTTAGATATTTTGTGGGTAAGAGTTAATATCAACATTGTGATATTTAAATCCCTTTAATCAGCAAAAAATAGTATATAACTTAACCTAATAACTTAACCTAACACAAAGTCAAAGGAAACAAGAAATGCAAGAAGAGGTAAAAGATAAGAAATTAAAATTCATCAAATGGCCAAGGGCCCTGCTGTTTTCTTTAATCAATTGTTGTTAGTCATCACAATTTTATCTTGATAACTGAGCGAATTGCCCAACAGCTGCGACAATGACAAAAAACAAATGTTGCAATTGTTATATACCATCGCAGGATTACATCATTTAAAATATGGCAGATGTATCATGTAAAAATTTGCTGAATTCATGTTATGATTGGACTTCAAGTCTGCTTATATTTGGACAACCTTTTCCTTAACATGCCGCTAATGTATAAAAGTAAAAAATTCTGGAGAAAGAGTGATCCCTCGGAAACATTATAATCATTACAAAATTACATGAAAATTGCAGACTTGGTTTGATTGAGTCTGTACATGAGGAAAAGTTCCAACATCCCTCATGCCCCCAAGCACCAGCTTGAGAATTTAAAACACAAATAAGTTAAAAAAAAATCATAAAGCTTTGTAAAATATGGTGTCAATCACCATAGACTAAATCAGTTCAAGACACTGACAAGTCCTATTTCGTTATACCTGATTCTCTAACTTTATCTGTGTATTAAGATATATAAGTACATAAATATTCAACATTCATTTTTATTGCTTTATGAACTATTCAATTACATATAACAAACTTGTTGATCAATTTGAGAAATTTGAGTTTTCTTTCTGTTTTAAGCCAGTTTGTTATACAGGTCAGTATTACAATCTATCAGATTTAACCTTATTGCAGTGCCAAGATACAAAAAAAATCATTTAGAATTTCAAAGAATACATGTATAACAATTAGAACAAATTTTTTACATAACAGTAAATGTATAACAATTAGAACAAATTTTTTACATAACAGTAAATGTATAACAGTTAGAACAAACTTTTTACATAACAGTAAATTCTATATTAGCTGTAACTAGTAAGAGCTTTGCTAACATAATCAGCTCTATTTTGTCAGCTTCTTTATGGGAAATCTGATTTTATAAATCAGGCACATTTACATTTCCTAGAACGTTGATGCTTTATAATGATTAAAACTTTCCATTTTCACTTTTTTCTCAGACAACTTCTCCTGTTCACTAGGCTAATAGCTATCTTGACTTCAATATTTGAATCACAGATTATATTTCAAGGAAATAAGGATTAGCTAAAAAAGAAGAATCAGAGAATATCCAGTTCTGAGTTATGTTCAATTAGGTTAAGAGAATATCCTGCTCACCGGAAAAGCACTACGATATAAATATGTCTATAATTTGCATGATCTGAACAATCTTCAACTTTAAGTACCACTTAATGTAATGAATATTCCCTATAAAAATATGTTAAAATGTCAAAGACACCAAAGTGAGGATTAAATAGTTGATAATTATGCAATCCATTAATTTACATATCTATAAAGTTTCAGTTACTTTTATTTCTTATCATACTCATTGCTCAATTAATTAAAGAACAGAATTTTAGGTGGAACTATCGATTGTTAAGTCTGCAGGATCTTGAATGTTATATTTTTGTTGGGTTTTGTTGAAAATTAAATACCCCTGAAGCCAGTGCTAGAGGGGCCTGAGAGATGTTACAGTTTTACATTATCTCTCATGAAAAAGCTCAATCAAACCTGCAATTTTTAAATAATATTGTTGCTTCACTGTTTCCAAGGCATTACCACTTTTCCAGATTTGAATCATAATGGATATTGCCAAAATCAAAGCAGACCCAAGACTTTTTATGCATTATTCAAGGATAGGCTTTTCATCCATTTCTGATTATTTATCAAACAGTTCAAAGAACCAGTAATTAAATCCTATTTGATGATTAGTTTCTCATTCATCATAGGTTTCATTTGACACAAATAGGCGGCAACTTTACCGAAGTTTATGTATGGAATAGAATTATGTTACCTAGAGGCTCCCTGGAGATTCTTTTCTTTATCCATTTTTAGCTTATTGAGTCTTTCCCATCTGCAAGATTAAAATGTATGCTTAATTAAATGTTCACTAAAATTGTTTACCAAAATAATTTAAGAAATAAGCCACCTTTCTCAGACACTCCTTCCATAAATGGAACTTCTGTCACCTGTTAAATTACTATTCTATAACATAAAAAGACAATGCTATTATAAAGGCTATATTAATAAAAGTATACAGAACTGATAATTTACAAGATACTATAATAAGTGAATGTTTATAAATTGGTTCACAAGACATTAATAAGATTTTTTATGAGATTTCTATTTTTAAAACAAGTTAATAAACTAATATAACAAGAATATTCATTTAAACAAAGAAACAAACAAAGTTAAATCCATAGTGGCAACCAATCCCTATCAATCATTTTTAGTTGTTTTTTCTTTGCTGGAAGTAGTAAGGACTTTGACTTTTGGAATACCCAACCCTGACAAATGACTTAATATACTAAATGCCACTGAACTTTGAACTGGAAACATTTCCTGCTTTATGATTCCATAACAAACAGTGCAGGTCACAACTAATCATGACCTTGACCTTATTTCTTCTGATATTCCCTCGGTGTTCCCAATGGACAGGTTCATGGATCATTATTTTGAAAGTTGTGTGATAAAATTATATACCTGTCATTAATCTCCTTCTGCCGTTTTTTAACCTGATCTTTTTGACTGGTTCCCCGTTTCAAAATGTCATCTGCTAATTTGTTGATATCGGACAGTCTGCCACTATTTGCCGCTATATTGGTTAGGAGTTGCTGAAATAATAAAAACATGATTATTTACTTCAATAGTATATCAATTTTATTCCTTTAAAAAAATTTGAGTCCGCAACTTGACATTTGAGTAGAACTACAAGCTTTTTAAAATACATGTTCTATTTACATTTTTCATCATATATAAGAACTCCAAATAAGAAGCAGAATTTGGACCAAGAGAATTTTAGGTGCAAAAGATATGAATTCAGCTAAATGAATCATTTCTTAAACTTCAGCCTTTGTAACCCTTGCTTTACTAAAAATCTTAAATGGACTTTCCTACCTTTCAATCTAAACAAAGCCATTCTTCATTTTAGGGGAAAATTTCAAAATATGAGCCGCGTCATGACAAAACCAACATAATGGGTTTGCGACCAGCATGGACCCAGACCAGCCTGCGCATCCGCAATCTGCAAACCCATTATGTTGGTTTTGTTGTAACACGGCTCATATGTATTGACTGAATAGAGAACAGAGCAAACCATGATCAGACTGCACCTATTACAGTCTTTACTGGTTGTGTGTATAGAATCTCTTCTGAAGTTTAAAAGAAACAAAGACAATAAATAACACAGTTAAGTACAGATTATTCTACTGATTCAAACCATGTTTGGTGATGTTAAGTATACTGATTTACAAAAAGAAATCAAGCAATGGATTTCTGTTGTTGTTTTTTTCACTTTGGTTTACCCTTACAAGAGTTCACAGTTTATGATTGAACACAGGAAAAATTCAAAGGATGCTGTTTTATCAATTTTAGAGAAATCAATCACTGCATGAGGGGCCATGCATGAGATTCTAGATTATCTACCTAAAAAGGTTCAGGAATAGGCTAATAGAATTTACTTATAGGTAACAGTTTATTAGACAGAGGGTTGAAACAGTTTTAAGGCATTGTTTTACATGGTGGCCAATGATTCAGCGACTGAATACCTACCTCAAATTTCTTTCTTACAGCATCCATATTATCAGAGAGGCTCTCTTTGCTTGTAAGGAGAAGTTCTTTCTCTTTCATCCAAGTTTCAAACTCGTCACACTCCCGGTAGAATTTAAACAACTTACTGGCATCTTCAAGACTGATTCTTCTTGTCTGAAAGTATGAATTTTAAATATATTTTTTTTTTATTGACGTCTGGTTTAACAAGAAATATTGTTTATGTTATTATGTTACTGTCAATAGAAACACATACCAATGACCAACCCATCCTTGGAGAATAGTTGACACATTTTGATTCTAAAAACCCTGGTAAAGAGCATACCTTCTGGGACAGTCAAATTTGATATATCCCCCTCCCCCCTTGCTTTTTTGATACAACATCAGTGCTAGACCAGTCCGTTGCAAAGAAGCAATATAACAACTTTCATTATTTTGCAAATTGTGATCAATAAGTGTTCTCTGCTTCCTAAAATGCAAGCCACTTCAGTAATTCAGTAAGACTAGTAATTTATAAAAATATTTCTATAATCATAACAATGGTCACCTGTAACAGGGAAACAGGCATTAAATAAAATAATCTCAGAGGAAGGTTTTGGCCAAAAATGTTGCAACACATGGCTGCACACCTACATAAATTTTTTTGGTGTTTAATGTCTATACTCGGTATAGAAGGTCCACATGGCTACTTTCCAGTTTTACTGTTGAGAAAAGTAAATATCAATACAGCTTCTTGACTGAGTTACATCAAGGAACTGATTATTTCACTCTGTGGTCTATCTAGAGCATTGTGCATGTTTCTTTGTAAAGTTCTTGGTCAGATCCATATAGAATAAAATTTTAATGATGCCTTTTTACTGACTCTGTGGAACAAATTTCTATATGTTCAGAAGATTATGCAGCACACCTATCTCAATATTGATCAAAAGAAGTATTCTTAAGGTCGTTCAGTCCAGGTCACATTATTCTCTGATCCGGTAAGAAGATTTTATTCATAATCCTTAGAAAATCTAACAATTGACATCACAGTATATGTGATCACGCACACGGTAAGAACTCCATTAGTATGATTAACGTAGAAGCCAATTATCATATATGTATTGTCTTTAACCAAAACAGAAAAGTTTCCATGTTACAAAAACATGAGAATTCCTTCAATGGTCGTAGAATATGGTTTACCCTTAGTTCAGAAATACAGCACAGGACCTATAAATACAGTTACAGTACCTATAAATACAATTCAAATCACTGCAATTAAGCTATTCTTCTTACAGTTTCCTCAAAACTTAGGAATATATTACACTCTAGATAATAGGGTAATTTTATTTACCATTTATACAACTAGTGTAATATCTATATAATTTATTTTGATTATTTGAATATTACTATTTTTCTTAATTTCTTTTGCTTTAAATATTTTTCAGTTTCATTATTTCCATTTTATTAATTGTGTAAATTTTTGGAACTATATAATTACAAACTTGCCAAATTTTCTTATATAAAAACAGAGTAAAAGAAGCCATCAAGTCAGCTTGGGTTATTATTGTCTGAAAATGTATGTGCTGGCTTAAATTCTATAAGTGTTAAAAACATAGCTAAATCTTTAACAATGTAGTTTTATCAACTCTTACTAGAATGACATATCTTAGTAAGCAGTGTCAATCCCTTAAGTAAAAAACCCGACCCTTAATTGATTACAACACAAAGATAGGTATGAAACCTTAGTTCCTGCGTTTGTAATGCAATAATCCTTCCTGGGGAAAAAAAGCTATTTTTTAAAGTCATTCTTTCTTTGGACTTCAGACATTAAACGTGAAAGAACAGTTTATAACTGTCTTTTTCATCTTTTCCAGGTATGTGATATTTCTATATTTTCTAATGTACAATTTAGAATAATTCTACTAAATATGATACTTAATTTTCTAAATATTTGTACTTTGTTTACCATTATGAATTTTTTATCATCTGAATTTTTGCAACTGTGTTATATTTTAATTTCTACTTTTGAAATTATGTTGTAATTTTTAATGGTATTCATTCTCAAATATTTTCATATTTAGCGAAAGTGGTAAAGGATCATAATTGAATCCATTGCTTACCATAATATTAAACTTTCTTGTAATTACTTGAATTTCTGACAGTTTGTAAATCCTGTCTTTATAACTTTTTATCTATGAAAAGGAAGTTAATAACAAAAGTCACAAAACTTGGTGTAAATATGTTTTTCTTGTTAAATGTGTTAAGTTGATTTTTCTAAAATTGAATAAGATTTAAATATTACGAGAATTATTAAAACAATATTGTAAAGATCACTGTTTCATTTTTTTTCTTAACAAAAGGACAATAACATTAATAAACACTTTTATATACGGTAAGTTTGCAATTTGCAATTTATACTAATATACAAAGTTGTTTAGTTTAAGTAATGACATTGTACCTTTCACTAGCTTTTAAATGCGAGTTATTATATTTTATTAAATGAACACTTATTATTTTCCCCATTATTATTAAATATATATTTATTGCAGTCTGCAAATATAAGTACATAATTATGTTGTGATATGTTTTTATTATGTTAAAAACTATTATGTTTTTCAAATTGTATTTTATATTTGTACATAGAATGTATATAATACATTCTTACTTTGGACTTCAGAAATTAAACGTGAAATATCTGTTTAAAACTGTCTTTTTCATCTTTTCCAGACTGCTAGCCCAAAGGCCTTGCATCTTAAACCCCAATTGCAACCAAACGTCAAACCCACCTCTCAAGCTATGTCACCCCCGTAAAACCCCGAGCGTAAAAAATATTACAACTTAAAACTATCCTTCATCACTTTAGTGCAGTAAAATGTTAACTCCTTATATAGTGTAATAGGTTTTAACCAGTTTCTGCACAAAGGTGGCAATTTGTGCTATTGTCCATAACTATAATAGATAACTATATTTTCAAAGAGGAGGATCTGATAGTTTCAGAAACATGAAAGATCATAACACCCCCTGCAGAAATCAAAACTACCCCGATACGGGAAGTTTTGAAATCAGCAACCATTATAACTTTGTCACAGATGATCTCATGCAATTATATTTTAATATCGGTCCAATGTATAATACAGTTTCAATGAAAGAGAATAAAGCTATATTTTAGTAAGTCAAAACATAGAGAAAAATTAAAAGTAAGAAAAGAACACATCACCATCTAAAAGGTTAGAATAAAATACAAGCATAGAAAATTAATGTTTGAATATATTGACAAACATCATAATAATTTTATTGAAGAATTAGAGTTTGTGATCGTCTGAAAAGACAGGTGAGGTATGTGTATAATCGTTACTAAAAATAGCATTTGAACATTTTATTAGATAATATTATATTCCGTTTTATAATTCAACAGTGTTATGGAGAAGATATGATTTTTTTTATCAAAGTTTCTCCAAATACCAGAAAAAAATAATGTATTGTACATTTATTGAAAACTTTATATATCTGGCTAACTGGTGAAATAAGGGTGGCCCTGTTATTGGTGAAATAGGGTGGTCCTGAATTTAATTGGTGAAATAGGGTGGCCAATAAAAGACTAAATAAACAAACCTGAGCAAGCTTCAGTAGTTTATTAAAGGTCAAGGTCAATCCCTTCTGTCGTGATTCCACATTTTCTTTGTCAAAGTGGAGATTGGACTTTGATCTCACTGAAAGTTAAAAATACACAATATCAAGCTTCAAAATTATACTGTAGAAACCAGATTATTGGAGGCTAATGAACTTACTGTATAGTGAGTTACCTCATTTTATGGGATTAAGGGATCTTTTCTGTGAAGATTGGTTCTTTAATGTCGACACAGAGACATCAATGAATTGGTGAATACAAAATTTTAATACTTCATTATGTTATACTATACAACCATCTTTTTTCATTTTTAACACATTATTGCCTAAGGTAGTATATATCTATATGTAAATGAAAAATATATATGTAAAAGAATACATGTATGTTTATTATTCATGTTTATTCATTAAGATGAAAAACTTAAAATCAAGAAAAATAACGTAACAGTCTTATTGATCTTTTTAATCAGGCTATTAACCAGTCTTGTTCATAAGGATTGGCCTAAAATGACAACATAATTAAATGCTGATTACAAGTAATTATATCAAGTTCACTGAATAATTTAATTCAATTAGGTTGTTTTTATCAATTTTGTATTAAACATTTACACCTTATATTTACATTTCTAATCAAACTTGTTGTATTAATTACAATGTAATCTCTATATTAAGCTAATATACTTATTACAAATCAAATTAATTCTGTAATCATGAATACAGAAAAGATGCACAAACACATATGTCAACCTCCTACAATATAAAATCATTGAACTATTTACTTGTCTAACCTTTGATGAAATTATGGTCTTTAAAGTTTGTTTGGTTTTTACACAAAATTTAACACATTTTATTATTTTTGTTCGAATCTAGGTAGTCCACCTAACCGCCTCTCCTGGGTTCTTCACGAGTAATAACCAATTTCTCTGCAAGTGACTGACTATTTTTGAACCAGAGGTGAGAAACAAATGACCAGTGAACTCAATGTCCGAGATTAAAAGTCTTGGAGAAGTTCAACTTCATGCAAACCCTATCTTTTTATAAAGCAACACACTTTTATATTCATGTTTGATTTTAAGAAAATTCCAAAACCATGTTCTTATGTAACCCAGTTAAAATGTTACCAAGCAAACAATATGATTTAATTGAAAAGCTGGCATTTGAAGCCATTAAGAACATTACTTACAATGCATATAAATTACTTAAACTAATATGCTAAAATAAATTAACTAAAATGGCCTAGTGGTTAAGGTGTCTGCCTCTCAACCTAGGGATCATGGGTATGAGTCCTACTTGGGTCATGACCATATTTCCTCATATGAGGGTCATGACCATATTTCCTCATTTGACACCAGTACTGGTTAGTTCAAAGAAGCAGCCTCGAAAGTGATTAATATAAGTTCAAGGAGGCAGCCTCAAAAGTGATAAATATTAGTTCAAGGAGGCAGCCTCAAAAGTGATTAATATTAGCTGCAATCTTGTTTAACAATTGAGCTAAAAGAAATATGGTGATAAATTAACTAATTCAAAAATAGCTCTTAGTATGGTGGTAATTGGTAAAAATATGTTGATAAAATAACAAATTCAGTTATGTTGGTAACTGACAACTTTGCCACACATAAAATGCCATAAAAACACCTTATTTTGTTAAATCAATTATTTCTAACACTGTTTTTCATTTATATGTCAAACAGGAAGTAAACAACTCTCTTAAAGATGCCTGCAGCAGTTTCAATATTGCTTTTTTATTTAATTACCAGATTTCCCCTAGCATTCTATCATTGAGAGATCATTATATTTATTTATCATGTTTAAACAATAAAATAAAATACCAGATTACAGATAATACACTTAATAGAACACTTAATCCCTAGCTTGCTTGCAACACCTGAACATAACAAATCATCCAGTGCAGACCAACTGATCAGCATATCCCAGCTGTCTCATCATGGTCTGCACTGTTCCCTAATTTATCAGTTCTTATTTTGAAATTTGTAGATTGAAAAATGAACGTGTCCTTAATAAGATCCTAAGCTTGGTAATGGGTTAATGGCAGCTGAAAAAAATAGCTATGAAATCAAACAAGAGTCAGCCTAATAGAATTTGAAATGATATTTACTTGAAGGGGCTCTTCTTAATGTGCTGGGCTTCTCTGCTTTTGTTTTCACAATTTCTTTCTTCATAACAGTTTTCTTCACTATGACTTTTTCCGGGACTTTCACTGGTTTCTGTACGACCTTCTTTACGACCTTTGGTTCAGTTTCCTTCACATAATTTGCTGGTACAAAACCTTCTGTCCCATCACTCTTCCTAATCTGCCACCAGTCGTTGTTTGTTTTCTGGATCAAGGTCATGACCTGGAATATAGATACCGGTAGGTTATACATTTTATTAAAACTATTTTTACCAAGCCTTCTTATGCTTTAAATTACTACAGGAATATCGAACTTTACATTCTACCCCTTTTTTAACCTATTAACCTGCTGAAAGAGAAAGGCATTAGTATAGAACAAGGCTAGCCTTCACATCTGAGCAGTCTGATCTGGTTAGATCTACATTTTATTACTGAAATCATTCAAATTTTGAATTGACTATTCTTAAAATTAAGACCATTAAGAAGAAGAATTTTTCTTACTGTATTTTCTAACGAGAGTTATCTGTTTGTGAAGCCATATGCTGCCCATTGTCTTGCGGGCAAGCAAAATTTGTAAGTGTAAACAGAATGCAGGTTACTGCTAATGTGATCAGAAATTTATAATTTATGGAAACCTCTTGGAAAATCTCTAGGGTTTTGTTTAGTATGACCTAATAATGTGTTTTCACCCTAATGTATTAATATTTGAATATACATAATATTTTTTTAATGGTTATGCCATCAAAATATACTGTTGACACTATTTTCACAAACAGGTTGTAAGTTAAGCAGGAAAAAACTTCATATTTTGTTTTCTGTTTACAATAAACTGGTCTAATAATACTTTGATTAAACAGAAGAAAAAAAACACAAACAGCACATTGGAAGTAAAAACCTCACTTCCATGTCAAGTAAAACTAGAACTGTGTCCAAAGGACATGGATGCCCCCACTGACAACATATATATGGTATATAGTGAAAAAATTACAACAAAGGGCCATAATTCTGTTAAATTTGGTTGCAGCAAAAATTCCTTCCTTTACTACCATCTACACATTAAGGTTGTTCATCCCTGGAAGTTTAAGCAAAATCTACTATCCGGTTTTAGAGGAGTTGCGTTCACAAAATTTCTATATGGTATATAGTGAAAAAATCAACAAAGGGCCATAATTCTGTTAAATTTGGTCGCAGCAAAAATTCCTTCCTTTACTACCATTTACACATTAAGGTTGTTCATCCCTGAAAGTTTAAGCAAAATCTGCCATCCGGTTTAAGAGGAGTTGCGTTCACAAAATTTCTAATTGGTATATAGTGAAAAAATCAACAAAGGGCCATAATTCTGTTAAATTTGGTTGCAGCAAAAATTCCTTCCTTTACTACCATCTACACATTAAGGTTGCTCATCCCTGGAAGTTTAAGCAAAATCTGCCATCTGGTTTAAGAGGAGTTGCGTTCACAAAATTTCTACATAGTATATAGTGAAAAAATCAACAAAGGGCCATAATTCTGTTAAATTTGGTCGCAGCGAAAATTCCTTCCTTTACTACCATCTACATATTAAGGTTGTTCATCCCTGAAAGTTTAAGCAAAATCTGCCATCCGGTTTAAGAGGAGTTGCGTTCACAAGATTTCGGGACGTACGGACAGACAGACGTACAGCGTGACGGACGGACAGACGGACGGACAAGTGCAACGCTATATGCTCCCACTCTGTGGGGGCATAAAAAGAAATACACATTTAAACAGTCAAAATTTAGTAAAAATTTCTTTCTTTTTCCTCCCGTAAACATCCCCTTACAGTCATTTCTTAAAATACCAAAAAAAAGGTTCAAGAATGGTTTCACCCACACCAATCAATTATTAAATTTCATTTGTTAAGATGTTGCATGTTTGTAAACAGAAGATTTCTCAATATTGACAAAGATGCTTTACCATTGATTTCGAAATCAATTTTTCTCATTCTTTTCATCAACATAGAATAAAACCTCTGTGAAATACAAATATTATACAGAGCCGAGTGTCTTTACAAATCAATTGACATCTTGTTTACCTAGTATTAAATTAACCGGAACGTACTCACATTTTAAGAACGGTTATTTCACGCAGGAAGGAAAAAGCTTTAGTCATTACACAAATACAATGATCACCGATGTTGACAACTAAATGAATCAAAATCAGTGTTCAATAGTCAAATGAAAGTGTTTAGGACTGGAACATTTGGAATTTACTAACTTTGTTTAACTTTTGAAACTTAATATTCCCGATAAGTGATTGAAATGACATACTCATAAAAATAGATATAATACTTTCCTGTTACAAAGTTTACAAGAACGGTCATTTGATCAGCATCACTTTTGGTAACAGTCTCTATTACAGAGGATAAAACTTTGTTATAACGGTCATACTGGATTATAAAATTCTATGTACTTAAATATTTGGACTTGCGAAAACATGACGCAAATGCTGTACTCTTATGCTTCATGACTGCAAGAATTTTCTCACCTCCTTAACATATATCTGCAGGCACAACAAAGTAACAATTAAAAATACTGTATTAAATACAGTAGCAATGTACTTTAATGGTCTGAATTCAATTACAAATTATACGTAAGCTACATATGAACTATATTGTTACTAAACAACATCTCAATTATTGTAGAACTGCTTGTTAAGTTTTCATTTGACCAGTGGAGAAACGCCAATGGTGGATATTTTAAATAATTACTTCTACAATCGTCATATTGTGTATTCCTGACGGATCACAGCATCAGTCATCACTCATTGGATATACTCTGACGACATTATATTGGAATTGACCATTTATATAATATAATACTTGTTCACATTGGCATTCAATCAACTGGACCTTTGACCAGGAAGGTAATGTAGATATTTTTTCTATTTATTATTATTTTATTATCATTTTTTGGTCATGCACTGATTTAATTAAATCTGTTAAAAAAATTATTTTAATTCTGACTTTTCAATTTTTTAACCTACAAATTTTTTTCTGAATGTAATTTTAAGTTGATCACATCAAATTTCATTTATTCTCCAAAACAGAAATGTATGTATTCAAACAAAAATTATATAAATTGAAAAATAAAATGATAATATAATATAATTTATGTATTATGATTTACATAAAATAGTGAATTTGCATATTCAAAATTATAGATTTTTTAACTCACTGAATAAACAACTATTTTCTAATTACATTGTGTATCAAATGCAAGCATCAATATTATAGACATGAAATTTTATTTTCAAAAATCCACCATTTCATAAAATTTTTAAATAATTATTCATCAGTATCAGAGTAAAACTTTTAATTTAGGTTAAACCAAGCAAGTTCTCCTTTTTAAACTTGAATCATCTTTTTCAAATTTTGATTTAAAAGATCAAGTCAACTCAAATGATATGACATGTTTTTTTTGGAGTTTTTTTTTCCTCTGTATTTTGGTATTAAGTCACACTAACTATGTTTTAGTCATGAGGTCACATAGTCATTTTGTAAAATAGGCACAGACCATTTACTTTATGTTTTTTTTAACTCAGAAGTTTTTTGGGCACTCTCCTCTTGTTTTTGTTTCTGTATGTTAATTGCTATTAATCATAATAAAAATAATTGCAATAATCTGTGTAATGTATTTTCCCAGCTTTAAATTCAGAACAGTCCATTCAATGTTTAAGGGATTCAAATATCAAAATAAAATTTTAGCTACCAACAGCATAGAGTCTGTACTGGTGGCATAGCCTAATCACTTATGGTTCCAGCAGCAGGCTTATGAAACATGAACTTTTGTTTAAAAATAACTGAATTAAACAATCATGTGTCATTTAAATTACCCCCTCCCCCTTAAAAATATGTTATATAAATCCCAGTTTATCAAAAACCAATGTTTATATGACTTGAGTGTTGATTTATTTTTCTGGTCCTTCTGGATCATTTATTCCAGCTTTTTAATGTGTTGAAAATGGAGTACCGCTCAAGCGGGTGCTAGGGGTCCTAAGGGGCGTGAGGGATGTGGCACTTTTTCATTATCCCTAATGTAAAGACTCAATCAAACTGAGTCTGCAATTTTCATGTAATTTTGCAGTTTTTAATGCTTCTGAGGGATCACTTTTTTCCAAGATATTTAAAAGTGTGAAATTCGTGGAGAATTGATTATACAATAAAATGCATGTTGTCAATCTCATTCTAAATATAGCTTTTCACAAATACCCTATGCTTCTTAATTACTAAAATCAGCTTATAAAATTACAACTTTATTACAGATTTAATCAGTTTAAACTAAGATGTTCAAAGAATTTGTTTGCCTCTAAGTTTTAGTCAAGTTCTATACATCATAGAAAATAGTAAAGATAAAATCTTTAATATCATCACATGTCTAAGACTTCTACTTTTAATTAAATTAGGAATGTAAATAATTTACGCATAATTATAGTAATAATTATGCTCAGAGACATTTTCTGCTAGTTCATGCGTATCATGTTGACAAAAATTCAAGATCAAAATCTTCTATCACCATTAATTTTATATTTATATTCAAAACTGAATCATAACAAGGAAGTAATGGCAACTGTGAGCTTCCTGGCTACCGTAATAGCCAGATCAGCCCTTACACTACTGAAGTTTTTAAACACTTCACCAGCCAGCTTCTATTTAAGAGCTGTTGAATAGTTAGTTTAGTCCTCAACTACTGAAATTTTGAAACCAACTTAGCCAGCTTCCATTTTAGAGCTGCTGAAGTATCAAATTAGCCCTTCATTTACTGAAATTTTTCAAACAGACCTCACCAGCTCCCATTACAGATCTTTGTTAGGAATTTTTGTGATTTTAAAGGGACTCCACTGAGGTTTTTTGACATGTCAGGACTGAATTTTTTTTGTCATGATTAACATTTCATTTATATAGATCATTGGCTCAGAATAATTTTTTTATGTGAAAGTTTTGCAAATCTCTCAAAAGTCTTAAATCTGGCTATATGAATGGCACAAAAACACAACTTTAAATTGATTTCTGAGAATTTATCTTAATTATCTCTTGCATATATTTTTCTGTTTCAAGTGCCCCAGCTGATTTATGTCAGAAATGAAAATAAATAAATAAATTTCTCCTTAATGAACATTAGAACAATTTTGCAAAATTTTTGTCCAAATGTAGAATCTACAAAATATTTAAATAAAACACCCATAAAAATAATAAAATATTTCCTGGCTGATATCAAATTTGAAGATTTATATTAACTTGAAAACATATCAAGACGCCATCACCATCTTCATTTCATTATCTAGTCATCTTTTATCATTTGACACTGAACATGAATATACATCTGCTCAAGTGTGAAGAAATTAAAATATTGTGACATATAAAGAAATGTATAAATTGATAAATAAAATTCACAATCCAAACTGACATCTTAAATTTTAAATTATGCTATAATTCACTATTTCTACAACCCATTACTTCAACATCGACATGACATTGAAGGTAATTTCTATATTTTTGTTTGTTTGTTTTGGGTTTTACGTCACATTGACACAGTATAGGTCATATCGCGACGTTCCAGCTTTACTGGTGGAGAAAGACCTCAGGTGCCCTTCCGTGCATTATTTCAGGCACGAACGGGCACCTGAGTAGAACCACCGACGTTCCGTAAGCTAGCTGGATAGCTTCCTCACATGAAAGAATCCAAAGTCCCTGTCGGGATTCGAACCCACAGCAGTGAGGGGCAAGTGGTTTGAAGTCAACGACCTTAACCACTCTGCCACGGACGCCCCAATTTCAATATAGGAATACTATCAAATTAATGTATAAGGCTAGATTAACACATAACCTGTTGAGTTTCTAAAAAATGGACTTGTTTGGAACTGTTCATTACTAATTTTTGGAATACCAAAAATATGTAAAATCACTAAATTTGCACATTTGTGTCATTATTTTACAAATAAGAACAACAAATTATCTGGAATGAGGAAGTGTGCTGCATTAATTGAAGCCCTCAGAATGATTAGGTGTAACAAAATAAATTCTTTAAAAATTACAGGATATAGAGTAAATTAAATGATTAAAACAGTATAGTTTCCAGTTCAAAATCATAAATCAGTTAATTAAATGATAATATAACATGATATTACATAATAATTACAGCCAACTGGAACAGATAATCGGTTATCAATATTTTCAATACAAGGTTAGTTTAGTTTACTTAGCTACGTTGATATTATGGAATAGCTGGGCTATAATCGAAAGAAAAAAAAAACAACAACAAGAAAACAATAAAATTACATCATTTCAGATTCCAAAGGGTAAGCAAAACTGTTTGCTTTTCAGCCAGTACAAACTTTAAAAAAATTCCGTACACATGATAAATGTACCAAAAAGAGGTCAAAATATGCAAAAATAACCCTTACTGTGTAATAGCCATTCATTAGATATATGTTGATCAGTACTGCAAAAATCAGTCAACAATGGCACATTACATGTAAATCAATCATTACTTGAATCTTTTTACTTTTTTTAGAATCCTAGTACATTATTTTCAAGTTTGATTTTCTTGAAATATTTCAAATTATCTGAGGGCATGGAGCTTTAACCTGCTTGAACCAAAAGTACCAAGCCCTGTGCCATCAGTAAAGAGCCTGGCCAGAATGCACATCTGTGGCAGCTCAATTTTTGTACTGGTTTGTTTTTTCATTACTAGTGTGTTCCACATTAAATGGACTGTTCCAAGTTCAAAGTACACAAATTCAGCAAGTTAAGGGATATCTGTATAAAAGTACTGAAATCAATGTCAAACAGAATAATTAGGCAAGTTAGGTAAATCATATAAACTAACCTGTCTCAATATGGCTGACATAGAAAAGGTTTCACAACTGCTACTATTCCAACAGTTAATTAAATGAAATCTCAAATGTCTTATCATTATCATTAATGTATAATGACATGGACCAATGATAAATGAAACTAATTTCATTCATTTCTATTTGTTAATTTTCTTGCAAATAAAATGACCTGCTGACCACTGATGGAAACAAAACATAGGTTGAATACATTTTATTCCATAATATTAATACTTAGACCCTCTAGCTGAATTTGTTTTATAATAAATATTAATTTTTGAGCATCTGACTTGAAAAGAAAATTGAACAATTTATCATTTTTGAAATGATTTTCTTACTGGCAACAGCACTAATGTATTTCCCAAGATAATGGTGATTTAATGATAATTTAAATTAATTGTTTTAGGTGGTCACATTCATATAACTGTGTTAAACATATAGTGAATATTGTAATTCTTATTTTCAGGATAATGACTTTGTTCTGACATTCAGAATGACTAGCGAAAACTCTACATTTGATGGAAATACAAGCCAAAGTGTATTAGGTGAAGAAGTAGATCAATTCCACCTGAGGAATACCTATGAAAATGTTTTTGCCATTTTGTTCCTTATCATTATTATGCTGACATCCATATTCGGAAATGGAGCTGTAATAGCAGTAATCTGCCTGAACAGACACATGCGGAAAGAAGTTTCAAATCTTCTTATTGTCAACCTAAGTGTCACGGACCTATCCAACACTTTACTTGTTATGCTGAGTGCCCTCGTTGCTTTGATAACGGACGAATGGATATTTGGACAGCATTGGTGTGATTTCATCTGCGCTACTAACTACTGTTTAATCATTGTTTCAATGTTAACACTTTGCTGTATCAGCATAGACCGTTACCATGCCGTCATGCATCCATTGTCCTACACTTTATTCATCACTAGGAAGAGGATGGTGATGGTCATTGCCTTTACATGGATTCAAGCGATTACATTTGGAATAGCTCCATCTATAGCAGGATGGGTGGCATTTGATTACTGGGAGGCGATATGTGCCATACAATGGCATAGTTACAGACCGGACTCCATCATTTACGTCGTACTTGCTTTTCTCCTCTGCTTTCTCATACCTGGAATTGTACTGATCTACTGCTACTCAAAGATTCTCCAGGAAGTGAAAAAGCAAAAAGCTCAGGTGGCAATTAACACAACAGGAGATTCCAGGGCGCATGAAAAAAATAAGCGGAAAGTCTCAGATCGCTCAAAAATTGTATGGAGTTTACTTGTGGTTGTTTTCGCATATTTTGTTTGTACAACTCCATTTAGTGTGACTAAGTTAATTAAAGTGTTAGCAAATGGTAAGGATCCCATTCCTGGACCAGTGAATCTCTTATCTGCACTTTTAGGGTACGTAGCCAGTGCAATCAATCCACTCATTTACGGAATCTTCCGGAGAGATTTCAGGACAGCATATAAACACTTACTCTACTCCGTTTTTCTGCATGAAAAGTTCCCAGACAAATTTTCCTCAGATACACGCAGCCAAACTGGGAACGGGACTATATCTCATGCAAACAACCTTACAATAAATCACGAGCATGACAACCAGATAGCGACACTTGAACATGCACTGGAGGAGTTACGTAATTCCTCAATGTTACCAAAGAGCCATGAATGTTCGCCAAAAAATGTCAGATTTTTACCAAGTGTGGAGGTCAAATCACCAACATTTGGTAAAGACACATGCTTTACTGAGTTAAACTCTGAAAAGGCTCATCTAAATGCTGTTGGTGACAATCTAGAGAATGGTAAAAGAGCATGGAGTGCTCTTTCCTGCAAACATGTCATGGTAAAATCTGTAAATGGATCCAGAGATGTTGAAGAACCATAGTGAATATATCAGCGAAACATCAGCAAGAAAACCATCACAAATACTGCTAGTGCATTAAAGCTGCAGGTCCCTAGATGAGTGAACTATTTGAATAAAGTCAAACTTTAGAAAAATATTTTCTTAGAGTTTAAGAAGCATACAAAATTCAATATTCACAATACATTTAACAGCCCTTTGTAATTATTATTAATGACTTTACTATTTCTTTTACCAAACCTCTACCCTGTTTAAACAAAAGAATTAATTGGTCATATTTTAGGGCTATTTTTGATCTGTAGTTTGATGCAATTTATGTAACATATTCTTGGCTCAACGTGCCTAATGTAAGCTTTAACTACATGTATATACTTTGTCAATAATTTCACACTATTTTAGCATTCAAAAGCCAACTTGAGTACTTCACTAATTAAATTGTCTTATTGTTAACATGAAGGCATCGCATTAATAAAGTGCACATTTTAATCACATCGATCGAAAAACCATTTCCTAAAAATTTGACCTCAAAAATGGTATAAATCTGTTTTAATTGCTTACTTATTTGTGATATCTAGAGGGAATATTTACTGTTTCTGTGGAGTGAATGAATAAGTCAAGATTAAAACATCTCATTAGTATATCTTTTATATAACAAGAAAACCTCTGCAGCCATTTAAAAAGTTAGGGAAACAGGGAGGAAAAACACAAACCACAGGATGTGTAATAAGACAGAAAACAGTAGGTGGAAATAAATCAACCATTTCCATATGAAGACTAAATTAGATTTGTCACATTCAGGTCATTTTACATTGTGTGAAAGATATGTTGTTAAATGTTTAAAAATATTTGATATCTTTAAGTCAGGGATGAAATTTTCTATGTAAAAAAAGTGGTATAAACTTTAAATAATTATAATAGAGGTATGCTACATGCCCAAAGAGAATGTTTCATGGTGCTATGTATAATGAAATCTATGTGAGACACACTTTGACCTTGAACTTTTAGGAGAACAAGTGGCAAAAGTGATGAACCTTTGCCACCAATATAAAGCCAGGTCAGCCTGCACATCCTGTAAACAGACAGTACTTTATACTGTTGACTAACTGCAGATTCTAATCTTGATATCTCCTAAAGTTGACAATGGACTGTCCCAAAACTAGAAGCTGGACAAGTTAAGTTTTACAAGATAAACAAAATTCATTTACAGGTAATTTTCAACTATTGTGTTTCTTTGGCAATTAAAATTTATATTTTAAGCTGTAGGTCACTATGACCTTGACCTCTTGACCCTTACTACAATTACATTACGAAGGTCTTTTCCTTGATTCTAATATTAACTCTGTTACTTAGATTCTGGTAACTGCACATCTTATTTTTTTAGTTCCAAGGACTATAAAGTTATTTTCAACTAAAAAACTTAACAAATAATTTGGATCTAAAGTAGATGCAAGGTCACTAAACAAGATGCAAGGTCACGAAACTATTTCTTTAGAAAGTATAATGCAGATAGAACTAATCTTTAGAAAGTTGCAACGACAGATAAAAACACTCAAATGACGTCTTTAATGACGTGTGAATTGTAATTAATATATTGCATGTGCATACTTAATCTTCAACACAAATGAGAATATAATGTTTATAGTTTATACAGTAACATGCTTATCACCATCCTTGTACATTATCTACAATTCCTACAATATGTAACATCTTCAGGTAACAGATAATATTGATCTCTCAACATTCTCCTGCAACTGGTTTTGTTCACTCAGAAATGTTTCTATTCAAGTGTAAACTGGTTGTTATATTATTCATTTTTTTCAACAGTGCTATGTTTTTTGTTGTTGTTATTGCAGACAACCCTGAAGAGGTTGTGATCTAAAGAACAAGTTGTTATTTATTGTTTGTGCTTTCATGACTTTTTTGTTATATTTTGTATAATAAATATAATTACTGAAAGAAACTGTCTTGGGTTTGTTTATAATTTTGTTTAATGGTACCTACACCGACAAAAAGTACACATAACAGGAAAATTAAATGATAACGTCCCCTTTCTCTATAATATAGCAGAGCCAGAAAAAAATGATTATTCCCCTTCCCTTTTATAATTATCAAGCAAACTGTTACAGAAATAATTCAATTATTACTATACAGTCATGCAAGTAGTGCAAAAAGGAAATAAAAATGTTTTTAACTATTTCTTCTCATAAATCCTGTAAACAATGCAAAAACCTAACTATAATTTGCTCCACTTTTTTCATATAGTGATGAAACCATGTCAGAACAATACAACAATTACCTCCCTTTATCTATAACAATGCAAACAAGGTCAAAAACATTTCACTTATTACTTCCCTTGCCTAAAAAGTAGTGCAGACAATGCCAGCAACGGTTCACTGATTACTTCCCTTGTCTTTTATAGTAATGCAAACAATGCCAGAGAAAACAGTTCTATGATTACCTCCCCTTTTTCTATCGTCATCCCCTGTCCTCTGTAAGTGTAAGCAGCTTTCACTTGCGGTATTTTACGAGTTTCTACATAATCTTGTAACACTTCCTTCTCATGTATCTGCAATGAAATCATTATGCAGCCATACTGGTCGGAGAGATAACTCCGACGCCTAGATAACCCCGACACTTTATAAATATAATTGTTTTAGCTTTGTTTTTCAACAAACAAGCACATGATCACCTAAAAGTATAGGAACAGGACAGAATGTGATGATTTGTTATAATTTGGTAGACTTTTTAATGTTTTTCAAATAACCTAAACTTTTTGTAGGCAAAAACTGCTTCAAAACATTCTTTTTACTAAATTACAGTAAGGTAGTTAGAAATGTATTGACCACAGGCCACTGACTTGGGAAAGATTTTTGAAAAATTGTTTAAATATTTACAAAAGATAAATAAACCATATAAGATGTACAAATAAATTATTGATGCTGATTATCCAGTCATTTTTTACTTAAAAATTTAAGTGTCGACTTTATCTACTGTTGGGGGTAAAAAGACCATGTTTTGTATACCTCATTCAAGACCTTAAAGAAGTACCAGATTCCATTTTTATACATAGATTTTGTGGTGTAATGTAAAGTCTTTGAACTGAAATTTGTTTAGGTGGTTCAATATTTAAAATATACTGGAAGATAATTAAAATATTGCAAAAAATATGTGATTTAGTGTCGGCGTTATCTCCAACCAGTATCAAATTAATATTCAAATTTTCAAATTTTATTATCAATGGTTATTCATAAACAATTATACAATATGTGTTCCCCTGTATATGATAAAAAAACTCACATTATTATTTTTTGCAAGCAAACCAAATTTCATCCTGCTAAAGATGAAAGTTTTAAAGGAATGTATAAATGTTGGTTGTTTTTTTAAATATACAATTTGATAAAATAATTTCATATCAAAGTCAACTATAAAATTTGTATGAAGTTAGCACATGCAATATTTAAACAAACAAAAAATGCTTTCAGTTTTGCAAGTAAACAAGACAATCTTTGTATGTTAAATTGAAGTGTATGCTACATTAAACTTGTTCAAATGAACTGTAACAGACTGTTGTTACCGCCCCTAGGACTGTCAATCCTACTGATATGATGATTATCAAGCTGTTCACCATTTTACTACATCTGGCACGTTAAACAAGGGAGACAATTTGTCCCAACATTTTAGCCTTGTCTTTTAGAGTTGTCTTTTCTTTAATGATTTCAATCACTACCCAGTCTACACAGAAAGACCAGACAATTAATATTCTCATTAATAATTACCCCTCTAATATCAAACCGATGATGCAACACCTATGCAATTTTTGTATTTTAATAACAAAACCCCTTAAACTTGGAATGGACTGTTCCAAATTCAAAGCAGGGCAAATTTACAACACAAATTCATCAGAATAAGTGTTTGAAGATGTAAAAATAAACATCTAAGATTACCTCTTCAACATCAATCTCATGAGGTCTTTCAACAACTTCATCTTCATACATTTCATCATCTGACTTCTGTCCATTCTCCGCTGGTTTAAACTTTTCTAGACTTATCTGAAATAAGGAATAATGCACTGAGAAAGTTTTGTGTCATTTACCTTTGAAATACAATCAAACCTGTGTAAAAGACCACCTCTGAAAAATGAAAAAAATTGCCCTGTAAATAAAGGACGCTTTTCACCAACCATTCAATCAGTGAATAGAAAAGAGTAACCTTCAAATAAAAACTGTATGTCTGTAAAGGTCATGTTCTCACCCTTGGATGACCTTTGTTCACAGGATGGACTGTATAAGTTCACTAGAAAGATGTTTCAAAGACAGTATCTATAGCAAATCATACCAAGATCAGCATAACTGTAACATTACACCTGGATTATGTTTGAGCACCTAACAGAACATAGTCATACATGCATTTGAGGTAAAAAAAATGCAATTTCATTATTCTGTTCTAAAGTTTACTACAAAATGCTGAGTCTGTTTTGCAGACCCTAAAAGAAGTTAACTTACATTATGTTCGCTGGCAGCCTTTGTCATTAGTTGAGCAAGTTCATCAAGTCTCTTAATCTCACTACCAAATGTTTTGATCTCGCCCTCAAGTCTATTGTGTCGGGACAGCAATGTCTGAGCACTGCCCTCGTCCTTACCATAATCATCACTTGTAACTAGTGGCATCTTCTCCTTCATCCAAGATTCTGCTTCATTAGCATCAGCATAATACTGAAAACAATGTCAACATAATACTGAAAATAATGTCAACATACTGAAAACAATGTCAACATAATACTGAAGACCAAACAATGTCAATATAATACTGAAAACAATGTCAACATACTGAAATGTCAACATAATACATGTACTGAAGACCAACAATGTCAACATGATATCGAAAACAAGCAATGTGAACATTTGTTATTTTAAATCCTCTATTGAAGCTTTTAACAACTGGCCCAAAAATGATTAGTGTTACCTAGTGTTTTGAGCTACTATGTACATGGTTATTACATGCCTTTTCCCCCAAAAACACTTTAGACGCTGCAGACTTACTTATCACAAATTTTACTCTAGTAGGTTCAGACTTAAACAGTGCTACAAGAGTGATCAGTAATCACATGTGTCGCCTCATGATGGCCAATTTCATGTTGGGACAAATTTTGTGACAGACGGACAGACAGACGGACAGTGCACAACTAGACTTGGTACTGATCATTCCTGTAAAGTTTGGATAAAATTGCACCAGTAGTTTATGAGGAGTAGTCCGGACAAGCTCTTTGCGTATCTGGCAACACACAGATAAAAAAACACATTTTTATCAAAGGGCCATAACTCGGCCAAAAATCATTCAACCGGAAAACCCCGTGCT